TCTTCCTCCTCCTCTTCCTCCTTCTCCTCCTCCTCTCCGCCCCCCACAGTACATAGTTGTATATTCTAGTTGTGTGAGTGCCTCTGGTTGTTCTATGTGGGACGCCACCTCAGCGTGACCTGACGATTGGTGCCATGTCCGCACCCAGGATCCGAACTAGCGAAATCCTGGGCCGCAAAAGCAGAGTGCGCGAACTTAACCACTCGGCCACGGGGCTGGCCCCTCATAAGATGTTTTTTAGTGTTAAACAAACCTCTTGTTTCTGGGGTAAGCCCACATCTGGTGTGATGTTACATGCATCACGTATATAACATACATCGTTGGAATGAGTTTACCAATGTTTTAAGATATTTACACCTTTGTAAGTGAGACTGTCCTGTAATTTTTCTTTCTCCTATCTGTGACTGATTTTATTTTCTGATCTCGGTGATACCAGTCTTACAAAATGAGTTGCTGTCTCCCACTTTTTATGTTAATTTTTATCTACACAAGCACAAAACTCTACTGATATGTAACAAGCGGATTGCTTGGAAGCAGTTCTGGGTGGACTCGGGGTGGTGGGTGTGGGGCCCATGAACTCCGAGTCTCCTGCTGGTTCTCCTTTGGTGTGGTTCTCACCATGTGGGCACCTCTTTGTCTGTCCTCCGCAGGCTGGACTCTGGCTCGTATCGCAGAGGATCCTGTCATTCCTGCTGTCTCTCCCATGGAGCCGCAGTTCCATGAACTCGCCCTTCACGACAGGCGCCCCGTCTCTGGCGAGCACAGTCACATTTCCCAGTGCAGGCTGGGAAAGATGCTGCCTTTGGAGAAGGCGTTTGCCACCCCCAGGAACTCCCCAGCACTCGCAGAACTGCCCATGCCATGGTGGCAGCTGGGGACCAGCAGGAGGAGACCATCCCCAGGAGGGCCCCTGCTGACCTCAAGTTGTCCTGCCTGCCCTTCTGGACCTTTGTCTACCAGGAGGCAGCTGGGACCCACTGGGCCCTGGCTCAGCTCTACGAGCTGTGCCACCAGTGGCTGCGGCCCGAGGTACACTCCCAGGAGCAGATGCTGGAGCTGCTGGTGCTGGAGCAATTCCTGAGCATCCTTGCCTACAAAGTCCTACTCTCGGTGGAGGTGCAGCATCATGAGAGTTGTAAGAAGGCGGTATCCCTGGTGGAGGACCTCACCAAGGCCCTGGAGGAGCCAGGTGAGGCCGCCAACCTGAAGGAGAACATGCCTTAGAGGAAACAGGGAGGGGGCTGGCCCTGGAAGGATTGAGATAGATGGCCTAGAGCCCAAACCCCAGCCAGTGGCTTGCCTGGGAGAGTTGGTTCCCCAACATGTAAGAGTCACAGAGGAGAGCAGCCCTGAGCTGGTGAGGATCTGACCTCCACCCTGCCTGGTGTCATTACCCACAGGGTTGCCTCATGGGCCAGGAAGGCTGCTTGGGCTCTTACCCTCACATCTGCCTTCCAGATATAAGGAAGCAGGAGGAACCAGCCCCTTAAACATTGAGTAAATGTTCTGGGTACATTTCTGCCCCTCCCTCAGTATAGGACCAAGGGGAGCACTGAGGCTGGGTGGACAGAGTCCCACCGTGTCTGAGGGTGGGGTCTGTGAATCTGGTGATGATGGGGTCATGGAGCTGAGGGCTCAGGGACAGAAGCCTGTGTCCACGTCTGCCCCCCGGTGGTTTACTGTGATGGTTGGCAGTGTCTCTCCCTCTTGGGCTCACTCTTGGCTCAGGTGTGACCAGGGATGCTGTTGAGTTCTCCCGGGGGGTCATCCACAGCCTCGAGCAGGGTGTGTGTGGGAAGCATGCTGCACCTTTGCCATCTGCCATTGCCAGGCGGGCTGGCGAGAGCCAGCAAAGACCCAGAAGCCAGTGAGGCCCAGGTGTCCCCCAAGACCTGTGAGTGCCAGCCAGCCCTTGCCCGGGTCTGTGAGTGGGAGAGGGCAGGAGGGAGACGTGTGCAGGTGTCAGGGGAGCCAGAGGGAGGCTCTGGAGCCTGGAATTCTGTAGATGTAGATCTGGCTTTTTACTTAAGCTCTGATGAATGTGAAAAGTATTATTTTAAATTAAATAAGTTTTCAGAGATCATGTTTATCTCAAACAGTGGAAAGTATTGAGATAACAAAGAAAAAAGTAATAATCTCCCCACTCTGAAATGAAATCAAAGGGTGCGCCCTGACACCTGTCCCTTGGTGTCTTTCTGTGCCTCTCGCACGCGTGCACACTCCTCTCACATGCGTGCACAGGCCTGTCACCCGTGGCCTGTGCGGACGGTTTGTGGCCGGTCTGCTTGGGGGTGATGTGCTTGTGCCTGAACACCTGCTGTCCCCTCACCCACCCAGGCCCCTCCGGTGGCGGCTGGATGTCCAGTGCCATCTCTTCATTGCCTTCATGGCCGGTGGTTCACAGCCCTCCTTGTGCTGGAGTTGGCATTTATGGCCGTTGTGGTTTCTGCCTCTTCCCATGAGGCTGAGGTAAGGCGTCCTCAGGCTTGGGCCTGGGTGTGGGAGCTTTGTTGGTGTGTGTATGGGGGGTTCCTCAGGGTCAGTGGACAAAGGGTATGTTCTCACAGTTTTCCAGAAGTTTTGTAGCGCACACGGTGCCAGTGTGCCTGGGCGCTTGTTTCCCCACATCCCACCAGCACTGGGCTTTGTTGCTTTTGAGATTTCCACCATTGCAGTGGGTAGCAAAGTGTTCCCTTCTTTGTGGCTTTAGTTTGAGTTTCTGGGCCGCCCCTGAGCTTGAGCTTCCTTTGCTTTCTTCTTCGCCTCCTCTGCTTTGTCAGTCAAGGACAAGGACAGATACGGGGTCCATGGGGCCCTGGGACCTGCTGTGATATGCGCATGCTGGGCCTCCCTGCTGCTGAGTCTGAGAACTCTTCGCTCTGCCTAGGGCCTGTGCAGGGGAGGCATTGGGGTCTCCCTGACCGGTTTGGGGGTGCCCAGCCATGGAGCACAAGTCTCAACTTTGCCTTCCCTTCTCCCCAGCCTGTCCCGCTCCAGAAACAGGGCAGCATAGGGGAGGAGACCAAAGAGGCCAAGCCCACAAGGGCAGAGCCAGAGGTGGGGGTGGGGCGCCTTGCCCAGGGCTCTCTAGTCCTGGCCCTGAGGGCCAGAGTCTGTTGCACCCTCCCTGGTGTATCAGACCTCTCGCTCCCCACATTGTTAATATGCCGCCAACTGCCCAGGGAGGACAATGGGCTGGGGCCTGGCCAGGGGATGAGGAGTGGGAGTGGCCCCAGGTTCCAGGGCTGGGCACCCGAGGCCACGGCCTCCCTGGGAAACCCAGTGATGAGCCTGGCCCAGGGTGTGGGCCAGGGTCGGGGTATGGGAGGTCTGTGCGCTCAAAGGGAGGGACCTGGAGTGCAGGCCTGGTGGCTCCTTACTGTGAGCTCTCCCCAAGCCCAGTTTGTGGTGACTCCCAGCCCCTCCCTCTGGCCACATCTAATGCACCGGCCCTCCCCTCCCGCACAGCCCTGCCAGCCACAGCCCTCCTCCTCTCTCTTCCTGCTGATCTGCTGCCCTTAAGTTCCACCTCCCACCAGTCAGGACTCTGCCTGCCACCCCATGTGGCAGCCCCTCCCCACTCCCGTGCTCCTTGTGCTTCTGCACTGAGGCTGTGCTGCCCTCGGGGCCTTGTAGGCTGTCTTCCCTCTTCAGAGACACATCCCCTGGACCTTCTGGGCCCCATGGCAGTGTCACCACAGGGCCTCCCACTTTATCTCCTTCATAGCCTTTGTCTGGGGTATCTGTCTGTCTGTCTCTCTTGAGGGAAGTGAGCTTAGCTGTCTGGGTCCTGTGATCCCCTGGGTGCCAGCCGGAGCCCCAGGCAGTGTGGAGGGATGGAGGAGACTTTGGGGACCTCTACAGCAGTGGTTCTCAACTAGAGCGCAATTTGTCCCCCTTCTGTTGCCAGTACTTTGGGGTGGGGAGTGCTCCTGGCATCTAGAGGGAAGAGGCCCGGATACTGGAAATCATCCTGCAGTGCTCACCACAGGCTCCAGCACAAAGAGTGTCCACAATGCCAATGCCAAGAAACCCTGCTCTCGTGTTAACCTGGGGGCAGGGTCCAGGGAAACCTGGGGTCCCCATGCAGAACCTGCAAAATGGTGGGTAGGAGCCCCAAGGACAGTGCTGCCCCCAGTATTCTTGCTGTGGTTGTGGGACCGAGGGTCCACCCTCTCTCTGGATGGGAAGCCTCAGCTGGGGCTGTGCTGCTATTTCAGAAGCTGAAGTTTCCAGAGGTGCCTCTGTACCTGGAGGAGTGGGGGCACCTGGACGCAGCAGAGGAGAACCTGGAGACCTAACGGAAACTGCTCTTGTGGGGCGAGACACTCCTCCCGCGGCCTCTACTCCGTCCTCCATCCTATTCCAAAACTGCTGGCCTGGGGCATCCTGACTCTACTTGGGGCTTTGGTTAGGATACCACAGTGTTTTAAATGTACTTCAACTTGAATGTGTTTTAAACGTATTTGACTTTGACCTTGAATTCATTGGCCAACGTCCCCACCCTGGTCCCCACAGTTCCTGGTCTCCATGTTTGAGTCCTGCGAGGGCCCTGGGCTTTGTGCTTGCAGCTCCTGCCTTCAGGACCTGAAGCTTCTGAATCTAGAAAGAAATCCTGACCCCAAAGTGTTGACTTCCCCATCCTTGTTGGTGCAGAGACAGGGTCTCCGGCCTTCTTGTGTGGACATCTTTTCCCCAGAAACCGTCCTTTGTATGGAGGCCCCAATACAGATTCGTGAACTCTTTATAGCTTTAATTTTATGTTATTTTGTAACTTTGCTTTTCCTTGAATTCCCCCCACTCCCCGCCTGCCCATTGACCCTTTCAGTCTTGCCCCACAGACCCTCTTCTTCATCCGTTTGCCATGTTCTCAGAACCCCCAGCCCTGCAGGGCGCTGATGGGGAGTCAGCTTTGGCAGGTGTCCTGGTGCAGACAAAAGGACCAAAGCTGCAGTCCTGGTCTTGGCCAGCCTGTGGGGCTTGAGGCCTGTCATCAGCTGCTTTCCATTCTGTTTTCAGTGTCTCTTTTAGTTTTTCTGTTATTTTGACCCCGCTCAGGGTATCAGCTTGCCTAGCCTGATGCTGCCTGCAAGCTGGAGACAGAGGAACTTCGGTTGGCTGACGGAGAACCACCCGAAGGCAGCTTCCCAGGTGAGCTTGAGTCAGAGAGTGATGGTTGGGGGCCAGGGTAGAGGGGGGGCCTTTCTTTCAGAGGCCAATGGAGGCCCCTCACAGCACCACTGGCCTCAGCAAAGACCTCAACTTTGACCTCACTCATTGTTGTCCCACCTCCTGTCCCACACTCTCGCCACGCCCACTCCCCAAGTATCAGAGCAGGAGGCAGGAATCCAGCTATGTTAATGGTCTCTTGCTGAGAAACAAACCACCCCAAAACTTAGGCACTTAAACAATGGCAATATTAGTTATTGTGATTCTGTGGATTGATTGGGGTCACCTGGGTGGCCGTTATGCTCCATTTGATGGCTGCTGGACGATGCACACAGCTATGGTCATCTGCCAGGCTTGACTAGAGCTAGAAGGTCCTAGGAAGCCTCACAGACTGGCAGTTGACGCTGGCTCTTGACTTGGAGCTCAACTGAGGCCGTCGACCTGGTTCTCCTTCATGTTGTCTCTCCAAGTGGATGCTTGGGCTTCCTCACAGTGTGGCTGCTGGGTTCTAGGAAGGAGTATTCCGGAGGGTAAGCACCATCCGGTGGGTGCTTATTAAGCCTTTGCATGCACCATGCATGCTCATGTCCCACAGACCGTGGTAGGTTACGTGGCCAAGCCAGTATGTGTGTGTACATGTGTGTGTACACGCGTGTGGGGGGAAGGGGACTACCCAAAAGCATGAATCCAGGGAGATATGCTTCATTGGGGGCCACCAGTGTACACGTTAGTTTACCATACGAGGATTATTTGGCCCTTCCTGGTGATGGACCGATGCTACCCCCATCTCATGGCTCCACTGCCAGTGTCACCTCAGGGTACGAGATGGCTGCTCCAGCTCTCTCTCACATGCACAGCAGCAGGAAGGAGGCCCCTCTGCCCTCCTTGCTTTTGTGCTTATGTCCCATTGGCTGGAACTTAGTCACATGGCCACTTTAGCTGCAAGGCAGGCTGGGAGTGATGGTCTTTCTTCCAGGCAGCTGTGAGCTCTGGGACTGTTGAGAAAGGGAAAGCAGACTGGGGACAGGCAGTGGTCTTCTGAGACCAGTGTGACCAACATCACTGCACTTAGCAGTTGTGTGGTCTCACTTTAGTGCATTGCCCCTGGGTTTGTCGAGAGAACTGGTCAATGATGTGCATGTAAAGTGCTTCTTGTCTCCTCACCCACCTCTCACTCGGGCTTGCCATCCCTGCCCATTCTCACGGTTGATCTCGGACCTGTGCCTTTTGTCAGTTCTCCTCACGTGGCAGTTCCTTCTCTGAGCCTGGGTGTTGGAACTGCTCACATTATAACCTTGTTTCAGGCAACAGGAGGTGGCAGGAAAACAGAGAGTGTGTGCGAGGAAGGCTCCACGTACAAGAAGCTGATAGAGAGGCTTGTGAGGAAAGTTTTGTGTGCCCCTTGACGGGCACTGCCCGGGAGGAGGAAGAACAGCTGCAGAAGGCTCTGGATCCTCAGGAGGGGGACCCAGGCCCTATCACCATGGCCCACAGGCAGTCCGTCATCCGGGACCCCGCCCAGGACAGGGGCACAGCTGGGGAGAGCCTTACTGTGCCCGTAATGCCAGCCACCCCACACCAAGGCCATGGAAGAAAGAGGCCCTACCCGGAGGATGTGGGTGACCAGGGCCCCAAGTGTGTCTCCAGCACGAGCCACCACCAGCAGTGCAAGGTGAAGAAGGAGCCTGCTGCAGCTGGCTGCAGCACAGGGTCCCTGGCCTGGCAGGCTTGGGGGACCTCTGCTGCGAGCTGCCCTGCAGCCGACGAGCCTGGGGCATCCCGAGGGAAGCCCTACATGGGCAGCTAGCGCGGGGAGACCTTTATGTGGATCTCACATTTCATCGATCATCTCAGGAGCCACAGTGGCAGGAAGCTCTACACATGCCAGGACTGCTGGAGAACCTTCCACTTCAGCCTGGCCCTGGCTCAGCACCAGAAAACCCACGAGAAGGAGAAAAGCTATGTGTTGGAGAGGGCCCTGGGCACCCACCCTGCCACCCATGGATCCTGTGCCGGTGGGAGGATTGGCGGGCTCCCGGAGTGCACAGAAGGTGATGTTTTCCCTCTGTAGTCTGAGGCACAGAGAGGAGCCGCTTTGCTCTAAGTGTCCCCAGAGCAGGACAGCTCTGCTTGCCTGGGAGTCCTGAGCAGTGTTTCTGGCTTCTTCAGAACCCATGCGTGGCTTCCTGCAGTGTCTGTGTGCACACAAGTGTGCTTGTTTTCTAGATAAGCTCATGTGGCTAAAGCACTTAGAACCCAGGAAGGGCCCGTGGGAAGCCCTCACCTCCTTGAAAACACACCCGTGCAGATGCTCGCAAGTGAGCACAAGCCATCAGATGTGCAAGAAGACTCTTTCTTCTGGAGCCATTTTATCACCACCCACACTTTGGAACATTTGTCAGTGTTCAAAGTGTAGAGTTGCCTTAAGGTGTGTGATCTGCCAGCTCGTCCTTGAAGTCAGCCTTGTCTCCCTTCCTCCTGTTTGAGCTCCCCAGCGCTGTTGTTCAAGCAGAAATCTTGCCAGCTGTTTTGGCCTTTTCATAAATACGCGATGTCAAGTTCACTTCTGAATCCTCGATAGCAAACTGTGTCCCGGTTGAACTCACATGTTTTTATGTGGGTGGAGTGACTTACAAAGATCATGGAAATGCTTGGAGCCTAGTAATGCAGTGTTTTCACACTGTGCATCTCAGCCCATTAGTGAGTTGTTAAATCAAATTGGTGGGTGGCTACCGGCATTACAAAGCAATAGAGTAGAATAAAACAGCTCAAAATTCATCATGTAGTAAAGGTAAATACTGTTTTGCGAAACTTTTCAGCCATATATCTAAATATAAAAACTGGTCACAACGTAAAATCTATTTTTTACTGAGTAGGGGGAGGTCATGATCAAAACAGGTTGAAAACGCTAATAAAGGTTGATGAGTTCTGTCTGTCTGAGTAAGGGTAACGTAACTCCTTGGGCTACATAAGGTGATCTTTTGATTTTTGCATTGAATTCGGATTACAGCATTGTTTCTGTTGCCTGAGCATAAACTTAACTGCTTCCTATAGATACAGAAACTGGTGCCTCCTTCTGTCACTGTGTTTGAGCATGGTGTCTGTTGTAATGATTCCCAAATCACAGGGGCTTAACAAAAGAAGTATTTCTTCCGTCACATTGTAGTCTTGTGGTTCTTGCTGCTGCATGTATGTTCGTGGGAGAGGAGCTCTGCTTCACATGGTGATTCAGGATCCAGGCTTCATCCCTGTTGAAGCTCTGCTCCCCGCTGGACCCTTGGAGCATATAGAGGAGGCCACACTTGCTCAGCCGGGAGACGACACATATCACTTCCATGCACATGTCCTTGGAGAGAAATGATCTCAGTCACTTGCAAGGGGCACGAGCTGTTTCCCTGGGTGCCTGTCTCTGCCACAGTCACTGAGCTCAGTTCCCCTCTTGCCTGTCAATCTCCCAACCCTAAGCTGGCTGTAGCTCTGATGATAAAAGAAAAACCAAAAAACTATACTTGCCCTCTCAACTCTTGTTCCCAACCTATTGCATGAGTTCACCTCTCCTGCTGCCACAGAGGTTACCCCTGGGATGCATGCCACTCAGCTTTCAGGGCCACTTGTGAGTCGTTCATTATTATAAAGGCCAGCACTCCATCTCTTCAGTTTCCCATCTGATGTCTCATTTAGTGCACAGCTAGATGCTTGTGCCTTTTTTGTTACATTTTTAAGGTTTTTATTTGAAAATAATTTCAAACTTATAGAAAAGGCACAAAAATAATACACAGATCACCTGCACACCCTTCACCCAGACCTGCCTGTCATTAATGTTTCACCCTGCTTGCCTGTGGTTTGTGCATCCCCCCCCAACACACATCTCGGGGTGCAGCAAGTCCACGTTCCTACTGCTGGTGACGATTTCTTTGCTCACCCAAAGTCTTGCCTAACTTCTCCACCATATAGTTATAATTTTCCCCCTTTTAACTAATAAGCAGTCTGTAGGGAGACACTTTAAATATCCTGCTCCTCACCAAAATGCCCCCCTAGGTTTAGCCTCCATTGAGGATGCTTGAATCAGTCTTTACCATGTGGTTGCAAAGTGATTATCCAACACCAGCCCCCGCTCCATGTTTACCAGCTGGCCCTGGGCATTCTGCTGCAAACCAGCACCCTCCCTTATCTCCTTTTATTTGTCTTTATTACCAGAATGGACTCAGGGGTTCCTGTCTTTTCAATGGATTATAGCTTATTGTGTCCTTGGTTATTTTGGTTCTCAAGTTGTACCAGATGAGGCCCATCGGAGCCTTCAGGAAGGTTCCTGCATCCCCATGACATGCCTTCATCATTTTTTGAACACTTCCTTTCTTTTTAGTATAATGAGATGTTCCAAAGTCATTTTGTTTCTACCCTGAAATCGGCCATTTCTCCAGTTCCAAAGAACTGGTTCCTTTAGGTGGAGGGTGGTATTAGAGACCAAATCTGAGTGCCAGGTGTGCTCATTGCTACTAGGGTGTCTTCTGCTGAACTAAGAGACATAGGCACAAATATAAACACATATAGGTATGCACAAAAGTATATGTGTGCATATACACATATGTGTACAGCAACACCTCCAGTTCCAATCTGTGGCTCCTCATATTTTTTATGTCCCTTCTTCAATAGTGAGAATCCTGGTACCCCAAAATCAACATTAATTTGCTGGATCCTAAAAATACCTCTAAAATAGTTTCAGAGGTGCTTTTCTCAAACCACTACAAGAAACAAATCTGAAGAGATTTCAGGATTTGTTTGCTGTTCCCCTTCTGCCACCAAGACATGGTAAATCACACAAATGGATGATTTATTTTACAGGGACAAAAATATAGCCAGATGTTCCCACTTGTTGATCTCAGGGGAAGCTGGGTTGGCTCAGGCATTAGGGGCACTGGGTCTGTGCTGAGGGTTTCAACTCCCACCCAAAGGTGCAGGGACATGGACCATTGAGAAAGATGCAGCAAATGGGGAGCCCAAAAAGGTGGCCCAGGTCTTTCCAGTGGAGTTGGGAGGACTGGAAAGGCACAGACCAATACAGGGGTATTGTGCCAGGACTCAAAAGGACGTGAGATGTCTGGAGGGCAAGAGAGAGCCCCAGGTGAGCTGGCACTAAGAATGGGTGGAATGTATGGCTGGTTCACTCAGGCTGGTTCCGAGGATAGCTGTGTTCAGAGGGGTAGGGAAAGGTAAGTCACACAAGTGGAAACCTGGCAAGATGGGGATGAAGTTCAATGGGAAGCAGATGCTTAAATACCCTGTTTGTGCACTGAATTGTGTGTCATTACCTCCTACTCCCTATCCACACATTGAAGCCCTAACCCCCATTGTGACTGTATTTGGAGATAGGGCCTTTAGGGAGGTAATTAATGTTAAATGAAGTTACAAGCGTGGGCTGTAATTCCACAGGACTGGCGTCCTTATATGAAGAGGAAGAGACAGCAGAGATTGCTCTCTTCCGATGCAAGTGCACAGAGGAGAGGCCATGCAAGGACAGAGAAGGTGGCTATCTACAAGCCAGGAAGAGAGGTCTTGCCAGAAACCAACCCTGACAGCACAGTGATGTTGGATGTCCAGCCTCCAGAACTGTGTTTAAGCCACTCAGCCTGTGGTATGTTGTTATGGCAGACCAAGCAGACTAATAAATACCCACCATCATTATCTGGGTTGAGGATAGTTTTGTAAATCAGGGTCAACCTGTGCAACTATTTTGGAAGGCAAACAGCCCACTTGCATTAAGAACCACTATGACATTGATGGTGGTTGAGCCTTCAATTTCAGGCATGGTGATTTTCCTTAAAGAATTAATGAAAGCAAAGCAGAAATCTACATATATCGAGAGGCTGAAATCCAAAATATACACAAGATTCCCATTTGCATGGAGTTAAATTCTCGATTACAGAGGAACTTCGCCTTAAGTTTCGGTAGAGCCATTCAAAGGAATAATAAGGCATTAATGATAATTAAGATGACTACGTAGCACCATGGAGAATAATTTCTAGGTGTGGCTCAAGAAGTAGAATACAAATATTCTATTGTAACTGTGTAAAGCATGGTGGATGTGGGAAACCATAACAGACAAAGTGTAAAGGTGAAAACAGTTGTATTAGGGTCATGGAATTATGGCTACATTTATTTTTGTTTTTGAATTCCATTAAAAATTCTTTATTTACAGGGCTTTTATAATAAAATTCATTTTTCACCATTTTGAAAAGAATTCTCCCAATTATGGAAAACTTGAAAAACACAGACTTGAAGGGGGAAAATCTCCCAGGTTCCCAACTCACGAGAACTTTTACTTTTGACATCTCAGTATATGTATATCCTTCCAGTCATTTTTCTGGGTATAAGATTTTGGTATGTATATGTTTGGTGCACGTAAAGTTAGCATTCTCATCGTAAGTGTGTGTGGTGAGTATCCTGAATAAGTGAATGAATATTTGAACGACTGAGTGAGTTGTGGGAAGAAATTGTGGACCTTCTTCATTCAGACAGCTGGCGTAACAAGATGGACTGGTATGTTTCTGACGTGGAGAAAGGACCTCCATTCTGCCTTCTGAGCCCAAGGAAAAGTCAAGGCTCAAGCTGCTCCCTCGCCCCTGTGAGGCTCCTGGGACAGGCCACAGTTGAGAGCAGTGGGATTCTGCAGTGCAGCCAATTCAGGAAGCTTGAGCACAATTCGTGCTTGACGCATCCTGGCCCCTGTTCCTCAAGGTGAGGCCTTCAGATCACCTGCTCCACAATCACTCGTGGCCTTGGTGTAGACTCTGGAACCGCCTCAGACCGACCAAAGGAGAATCTCGGGTCTAACACCCCCCCCACCCTCAGGTGGTTTCCATTTACAGCAGAAGCGGAGATCCACCGCCCTCGGAAGTGCTGGGCTCGGTCTTTCCCGAGTCTGCGGAAGTCCAGAGAACGGGGCTAGTGGAACCAGGGGTCAGTCCAGACTAATACGGCCTGAAGCTCCCACGACTGCGGAGTCCCTCTGCAGGAAGAATTCGCAACTGCTCAGATAAGCCAGGTGCCTGGCCTTGGAAGGGGCGCGGGCGAGCGAAGGACCGCGGAGCTTCAGCTGCTTCAACTTCACGCGAGTCCATGAAGCCCGACCTCAGAGCACACGGCCCAGGACTCCCAGCCGTGAGAACGCGGGTTACGGAAAGCACAGTTCCCAGAAGGCCCGGTGACACGGCCGGCTGCCTGGCCCCAGCCTCGAGCTACCAAGAGAGACCTCCGCAGAGCCGGGCTCCCGAGAGACGGCCGCGCGCAACGCGGGCAGCTGTTAGGGAGCCCGTCCCGGGCCGCACGGCCTCCGGAAGTGCGGGCGGGGCGGGGCTCCTGCGGCAGGAGCTTCTGGCTTCCGGCTTCCGGCTTCCGGTAGCGGCTCTGCTTCGGGAGTGAGGCTCTGGGACAGATGAGCCTCAGATTTCCCGGCCTCTCGGCAGGGCCCTTGGGACCGGAGCGGTCTCTCCGGCTGTTCCTGCCTGGGGGCCTGTGCTCTAGCGGTTCCTACGCCTTTTCAGAGACGCTTGCCCTGAAGCCCTGGCTTTAAGGTGCCACCCCCCACACCCGCTGCTTCCCCAATAACGCTGGCGTCCCCCCGTCTCCTCCTCTAGTCTGGTTTACCTTGTTTACCTTCTGATCACCTGGGTGCCTGTCCCGCCCACTGCCTTGAAACAGCCATGAGGCCAGAGGCATCTTCTGTGCCGTTCACGCTTGTTTAACTCTGGCTTGGGCTCTTAATATCCTTCAAAGGGGAGAATACATAAATTAATCCCTCTTGGACAGCAAAGTCTAGAGCCTTCCCTTAAAGACCTGCTCTCCAAAAACAAAAATGACTTGGGCGTGAGTGGGCGGCAGAGGCATGCAGAGCAGCCTGGGAAGGCAGGAAGGCCTCCGAGCAGAAATCTGACTTGCTGGGTTCAGAGGTGGGTGAGAGGGAACAGCATGTAGGTGGCTGGTCTGCTCTTGGCCTCTCCTGAAGACAGCTAGAAGCTTTGACCTCTTTCTCTATTTGTGACTGTGTAAGCTATATAAATATATACTATGTGCCAGTATAAAATACGGGTGTATTCGGATGCACAGGCGCTCTTCAGAAAAGGGTCTCTTTCGTTTTCTCATTTAATAGGAATGATGGTTTTGTGAGTGATGCAAACAATGGGTGTTTTACACTCGCTTTATACTTTGCAGCATGCTTTGGTATTCCATGAGCTCATTTAATTATCACTGCACCCCGAGGAGCAGGTAATTTATCAGTTGTGTTTCCTTAATTGGGGTTGAATTTTCTGTTACTTGCAATGAGGCTAAGCCAAAAGGGAATTCGTTGGCTTGTGTAACTGAGAAGCCCAGCTGACTTGGTATTTCCCTTCCTTGCTTTATTTCTTCTCCATTACACTTACTGTGTAATGTGCCTATAACTTATTCATTTCTCTTTATTTTCCATCTCTTCCACCCAAATGTAAGCTCCTGAGGCCAGGAAGTTTCATGGGTTTTATTGCCTGGTGTATCATCCCAGCATCTGGAGTTGTGCCTGGCCTTTAGTTGTTGCTCAATAAGTAGTTGCTGCCTGAGAGAATTAGAAACATACTGGGAAACCAGAGGTGACTTAATTCTCCACTCTCTATGCATCTCCCACCCAAGGTGCATGTTCTTGGCTGCCAGTCACTGGAAATCCAACTCAAAATTGTGGATGTCTTGAGGATACTTTTTATTTTCCATAACAGGAAGACCAGAAGATGAGCTCCAAGGTGGGGCCACTGGGGCTCTGCTTGAATTCCAGATGACTCGGCTCTGCTGTCTTCTTTGAGTTGACTTTTTCCTCAGGATGGTTTCCCTCATAGTTTAGAGATATGCTTCCTTGTTCATGTCCAGAGGAAGACAGAGTCTCTCCTTAGCAAAGAATGAGACGTTCCCCTTTGTCTCATTGAACCTACATAAGCCACAGTTTCACCCCTGGACACCACAGCCTTGCTCTGATTGGCTGCAGCCTGGGTCCCTGAACCGGTCATTCACCAGAAAGATGGTGTTGCCGTGACTAGCTTGACCCAAGGAGGAGACCTGGTAAATGGGGAGTCACTTTTACTGAGTCACTCGGCTGCATGGGAGGGAGAAAGGGGGTCAGAGAGGGTGCTCCCTGCCCTCAGAGTGTGCTGAGAGTGCTAGACTTTAAGCCAAAAAGCAGACAAATAATGACTGTCATATGTATTACAAAGTTTGGAAAGGGTTCCCTGAGGAAGAGTTCATGGGTCTGAGATGGGAGGATATGTGGGCATTAACCAATTGACAGAGGGAGGGAGTGGTTCCTAAGAGCAGCAGAAAGGGTCTTTCCACAGGCCCTGAGAAGGGCGGCACGTTGTATTTAGCGCTGGGACCCTCATGCTACAGAGGATACAAGAGTCAGCCTCATCATCCCCACCCCAAAGATTTGGACTCATTTGTTCTGGTGCAAGGCCCAGGAATCTGCATTTATAATCAGCACCCTGGTGCTTCTGTTGACAAAAGCCATGGATCCCACTGTGAGAGACACTAGTTCAGAAAAACAAGTAAGGTCTAGGTGGCTGGCACACAGAGATCTGGGGTAGACTGAGACCCAAAGGTGGGTGGATGCCCAATCTTCCAGCACCTTCTCTGCTGGAGTCAGGATTTTCTCTTCATCTGAGGAGTGGTAGGAAGCCACTGGAGGGGGTGAAGCAGGACTGACTCAACTGTATTTGTATTAAAAAAGACTCTCTCCCAGAGTGCATGAGTTACTATTGCTGTGTAACAAACCACCCCAACACTTCACAGAACACAGCACTACAATTTGTTTGGCTCACAGATTCAGGGGCTCAGTAATTTGGAAAGGGCACAACAGGGATGGTTTGTCTCTGCTCCACCGTGTTTGAGGCCTCAGCTGGGAACTTGAAGGCTGAGGTAGGTTGAAAACTGAGGGTCTGGAGTCATCTGAAGACTTGTTCACTTACATGCCTGATGAACCTGGGGGCCTCAGAGACTGGGACTGCTGACTGGAACCCCTAAGCAGAGCCTGTGTGGCTTGGGCATCCTCACAGTAGGGCGGCCTCAGGGTAGCTGGACTTCCCACATGGCGTCTCAGGGCTCCAAGTATAAGTGTTCCAGTGAGCATGGTGTAAACCGCATGGCCTCTTCTGACCTAGCCTCAGAACTCTACCCCATTCTTCACCTTAACCTCTGTTCACCCCCTTCAGTTTTCCTTGTTGATCTTTTAGTGTCAATAATTAAGACCTATCAGCAACTGTCCAAGTCTGTGAGGTCCTCGAGAGTCAGGAGTGCATTCGTCCCACAGTTTTCCTGACACCCTTCTGGAAGGGACTTTCACCTCGTTCCTGGTTTAGGGCAGAAGCGATACTGTGGGCAGTGCTCCATGGCTCCCAACTGCCTGCTGTATTCCTCTTTCTATCATTGCAGGGGAAGGAGGGGGAGGGGCAGAGAGGGCAGGCAGGAGCTTGTACAACTCCATTTCCCAGCAATCTGGCATTTTCACAGGATGGCAAGAGTGCGTGGTTGGGTTCCATTTTTACTGAACAGAATTGCAATAGAAGAGTCTTAACATTTTTTCCAAACATAATGTTCTATGATAAGAATGATATTCCTAGAGAGCCTGAAATATGCACAACCAGCATTGCGTATTTGCTACACTAGACTTAGGGGGAGGAGCCTGTCATGCCATTTACCTAAAGAAGCTGATCTTCCCAGTACATCTGCTTTCCTTGGGGACAAGAAGCTACACAAGGGGAAGCATGGAGGGCGGGGCACGTGCAATAAAAGAGGGAGGACAGAACAGCTGATCAAAGGACCAAGGCTACTGAGCTTCCCTTTCAGTGCAGCCACTGGCCAGCTACACATGGCAAATGAGCACTTGAGATGTGGCTACAGGGAATTAAGATATGCTGCAAATGTGAAATACACACTGGAGTTCAAAGACATAGTGTACAGAAAGAAAGGAAAACGTCTCAGTGATTTTTATATTGACAACATGTCAAAATGGTAACATTTGGGATACATAGAGACCAGTAGTGAATTAACTTCACCTGTTTTTGCTTGCCTTTTTCAATAGGACTGTTACAGTATTTAAGTTTACTGATGCAGCTTGCACTGTTTCTATTGCAGAGAGCTGCAAGGCACTATTTACTGATTTTCTTAAGTGGCATTTAAATGACTCTGAAATTATTCCAAAAAAGAGGAGGCATTCCACAGGCATACTGAGGAACAGTATTGGAAGACTATTTGCAACATGGTTCCCCCAAGGGAGAAATTTCAAGTTAACTGGAAACTTACATCCCAGCATTGTGATTAGGAAAATCAGACTAATTGATATAACCCTAACTGATGGTTGGTGACCGAAACCAGCCAATACACTTCAAATATGGGTTCTAATGAGGGTAGCAAGTGGTTGTCGGGGGACTGCTGGTAGTGGACTCAGAGTTCGATGAAATACTATGGACCTTTAAGTTAAATTAGATTTTAACAAAAGCTTATTAAACACCAGGATGAAGAATCAAGAGAAGAAAAATGTTCAAGAGAAGATTAACTTGTACATTTCTCAAGAGAGAGAAATCTTGCAAAACATAAGGTTCCATGTGGAGGTGCTATTGCTCATAAGATGGTGGCTTAACAAAGGGAAAAATCTTCCTCTTTTTGTGAAACAGCAACATCTGTGTTCTTAATGCCTGTGAGTCCTGCAGAGAGACTGATAGCAAGCAGAGCAGCAAAAGCCATCTCAGAATCCAGAAGACTCCACAGAAGTGGCTTTACATTTCAAGTCTTCCTATACAAATCTTTTCAATTCCATTGCATATAAAGGTTGATTTATTGCAAAATAACGCAGATAATTTAAAATGTTTATAGTACACGGATACTCTTGTCTCATGGAATTCAAAACTGTGAGACTGGTTGCCATGTATCTTGATCAAACAATTTACACACAAATCAGGAAACTTTGCACTGAGACAGCTGAGTATCCATGCTGATTCCATAAGGATGTGCTCGTGTCTGGAGCACTCTGCCATACTGTTTGTAGGGACTATCAGAGTCAGCTTGCACCGTTGATAAGCACTTCTCCCCTGCTAAGAATGTAACGTGCAATAATGATAAATTCTGGCTGCATTTGGTTCTTTTATATGAAAGGCATTCGTTGGGTTTCTCACCACTCTGAAAATCTCTGGTTTGGAATATGGTCAATCCTTGGACAGAATTCCCCAGATCCACTACATTTCCTCCATTTCTCTCTCTGTAGGATCAATGACATAGCATTCATGGGCACTCATGGCTAAAGTTTCCCCACGTTGATTGCACATGTCCCTACTGTTTGGATGACCTGATAGTCAGGGATGGACGACCTGGAGCTCAGTATCCCCACCGTCATTTCCCTCACTGTGAACTCTGAGGGTGTCTGAGGAGTATGTTGACTGTGAAAGCTTGTGTATAAAAATGTTTCTGTTGCTTCTCATGAGTATCATCGGGTCAAGTCTAGTAAGGAATGAGCTATGGCTTAAGGCTTTCCTGTGTCCCTGCACACGTGGAATGGGTCTACCCAGTGTGAGTTCTCTGGTGCTTGGTGAGGGAGGAGCTGTGTGTGAAGGCTTTCCCACAGTCCCTGCATTCATACGGTTTCTCTCCCGTGTGGATCCTCCGGTGCTGAGTCAGGTGGGTGCTCTGCCGGAAGGATTTGCCACAGTCCTGACATTCGTAGGGCTTTTCCCCCGTGTGTGTCCTTTCGTGCTGGCTGAGTGATGAGCTGTGACTGAAGGATTTCCCACATTCATTACACCCATAGGGCTTTTCCTTGGTGTGAATCCTCTGGTGCTCTATGAGAAGGGAGCTCTGGCTGAAGGCTCTGCCACACTCAGTACACTCATAGGGCTTTTCTCCTGTGTGGATCCTCTGATGCTGAATGAGGGGGGCGAGCTGGCTGAAGGCTCTGCTGCAGGTGTTACACTTGTAGGGCTTCTCACCGGTGTGGATCCGCTGGTGCTTAGTTAGGGAGGAGCTGTGGCTGAAGGCCTTGCCACAGTCGCCACACTCATAGGGCTTCTCCCCAGTGTGGATTCTCTGGTGCTGGGTGAGGTGTGTGCTCTGCCGGAAGGCCTTCCCGCACTGACTGCACTCATAGGGCTTCTCGCCCGTGTGCGTCCGCTCGTGCTGGCTGAGTGACGAGCTATGACTGAAAGTCTTCCCACACTCATTGCACCCATAGGGTTTCTCTCCCGTGTGAATTCTTCGATGCTCCGTCAAGAGTGTGCTCTGGCTGAAGGCTTTCCCACACTCATTGCACTCATAGGGCTTCTCTCCCGTGTGCGTCCTCTGATGCTGAATCAGCGGTGTGATCTGGGTGAAGGCTTTGCCACACTCATGGCACTCATAGGGCTTCTCCCCGGTGTGGATGCGCTGGTGTTTGGTCAAGGAGGAGCTGTGGCTGAAGGCCTTGCCACACTCCCCACACTGATAGGGCTTCTCCCCAGTGTGGATTCGCAGGTGCTGTGTGAGGTGGATGCTCTGCCGGAAGGCCTTCCCACATTCACTGCACTCATAGGGTTTCTCACCCGTGTGTGTCCGCTCGTGCTGGCTGAAGGAAGACCTAAAACTGAAGGATTTCCCACATTCACTGCACTCGTAGGGCTTCTCGCCAGTATGAGTCCTCTGGTGCTGGATCAGTGGGGCGATCTGGTTGAAGGTCCTCCCACACTGACTGCACTTATAAGGTTTCTCGCCAGTGTGGATTCTCTGGTGTTTGGTCAGTGCCGAGCTGTTTCGGAAACCTTTTCCACACTCGTGACATTCGTAAGGTCTCTCTCCTGTGTGTGTTCGGTGGTGTTCAATGAGTGCTGAGCTGTGACTAAAGGCCTTTCCACATTCCTGACATTTGTAGGGTTTCTCTTTTGCATAGGTTTTCTGTTGGGAATTTAACTTGGAGTCCAGATTCTCCCTCTTTCCATGTGTCCCCCACATGTGGGGGCCTCGTCTTTCAGGGGTCATTGGCTGAATGCCAAGACCAGGGCCCAGACCTCTGTTTTCCCCAAGCCCATTCCCCACCTGCTGCTCCTGAATGAGTGTCTTCTCCAGTGTGAAGGCCACCTGTAGCACACGGGCATCTAGGTTCCTGTGACTCCGCTCCCAGTGGCCGTTGGCATCTCCCTGCTCAGGGCACCACAGATTGTCCCACAGGAACCTTTCTACCAGGACACTGTTAGGTACTTCTTCAGTGATGTCTTGTCTTGGAACTGACGGTTTGGTTTGGGGTCTAGTTTCCAAGTCTGAAAGAAACAAAAAACAGAATGTCCCTTAATCCCTGTTCTGGGGGAAGAGTTTGTGGTGGGTGGGCAGATGGAAGGATAAAACTGATGGTTTTGAAAGGTTCGAGGCACAAGTGGCTTTGACCATTTAAAAACATGGTTTTGCACATCAGGGAAAGAAGAGGAGAGGGAGGGGAGGCACAGGGAACAACCAGGGGTGGGTGAGCTGTATGGGGGTAGGTGTAGGGTTTGCGAGAGGAGCAGAGAACATGAAGGTGGGGAGAGGGTGCTGAGGAGAGAGTGAGCATTCGGAGAAACTGTCGACAGATGCCCCAGGCTTGGGAAGAGCAGGGCGATGGCCAGGCTTGGGCTAAAGCCACCTCCACAGTGCCAGGTGGTGATGGGAGGAAAAGCCACCACCTGGGGAGGGACCACCCAGCCAGCCCTCCCCCTGCTCAGGTCCAGGTTCTTCTCAGCATCCTCTCACTGCTGTGCCTCTTCACCCAGACTTAAAGAAACCCATCAGCTCCCCTAGCCTGAGAACAGCTGAGATGCCCAGCACTAGGAGGATGGATAGATGACCTGTGGGGTGTCAGAGGACTTGGATCTGATTTATTTTGTCTGTCTCACTAAGTGGGGCTCCCCAAGGGTGGGGGCTTCTGTCCACCTTGGTCACCATCGTACCCCCAGCCCCCAGGAGAGGTCAGCAGACATGCTGAATGAACGAACAAATACACTCCCTCTACCTCCTTCCTGGCAGGAGGGCCTCTGTGGCCTGGTACCCAGCCCTCTCTGCACAGCCACGCCTCAGGACCCACAACCCGCACCCTGACACTGGATTGGCCTAAGGGAGTGATGTGGGCGCCTTTCCCATTTATGTTCCAATCTAGTGAAAAGTTAAGAAGGAAAAAATAGGTCAAGTTAGGTGTGGTTGACAGAATAGTGGCTCCCAAAGATGCCCACATCCTAATCCCTGATCCTATGAACATGCTGTTACCTTACATGCTGAGGAAGAATTAAGGTTGCTACTCAGGTGACATTAGCTAATCATCTGAGATTACCCTGGATTAGCGGGCTGGGTCTAACATAATTACAAGTGTTCCTAAATGTGAGAGAGAGGCATGGGGGTCAGAGTGACACATGAGAGACAATGTGACCAGCCATTGCTGACTCTGAAGATGGACAAGGCCATGAGTCAAGGGATGTGGGCAGCTTCCAGAAGCTGGAAAATGAAAGGAAGTGGACTCTCCCCAGACTCTCCAGAAGGAGCATTGCCCTGCGGACACTGTGACTGGAGCTCAGTGAGACCCAGGATGGACTTCTGACCTCTAAGACCGTAAGCTGAGCCGAGTTGCTTTAAGCCACTAAGTTTATGGTAATTTGTCACAGCAGCAATAGCAAGCCAATATACTGGGTAAGGGCTGGTTATTATTTGAGGCTGGGGAGACCCTAGGAGCCCCTGCCACACACTAACCATCCTTCTTGGGCCCTGGCAATGGGCCGCCACTTAACCAGGGTCAGGGCCTGACGCCAGAGGGCAACTGCCTGCCAGAGTGCTGGGACCCCCACTTCCTGCAGAGTTGCCTATGGTCTCAGGAGCTGGACAAGAGGTATGAAGAGCAGAACTGCCTGGCCCACCTACAGGCACAGGGCAGAGCCCAGCTGGGATCCACCAACCCACAGATGCATGAGTCATAAGTGAGTCTTTGGTCTAAACCACTGAGGCTGGAGTGTTTGTTACATGGCCAGAGCTGACTGCTGCACCACCCCAGGGCCTTTGCACTTTGGTTTCCTCTGCCCGGAATTCTGTTCTCCTGGCTGGTTTCATGGCAGCACTGTTCTTGGGTTCAGGCTTCACCTCACATGTCATCCCATGGGGAGGCGAGCCCTTGTCTCTCTGCTCAGGTCCCCGCAACCCTGGTCTCCACCTTAGCACCTGCTTTCATTTTCTTAGCCTTCATCACAATCTGTGCTCACTGTGTTCACTGTTATTACTTTAGCTAGTATTGTGCACCCCTTTCCCACACCAAGAATGTAAATTCAGTGACAACAGGCACTCATCTCACTCACAGCAGGATAGGCATGTGGTGAGTGTTCACTGAAAGTCACTTTGCTGTGAAGAATCCAAGAGCAGATACGGGGAGAACCTGGGCTGGGTGGGCTCCTCGGCCTCAAGGCCCTCACCTCACCTGGGCACATACCTTGGGGAAGGCCCTTGTCCACTGCCCACGGCTCTGTCACCTGCTCCAGCAGGGAGATGACGTCCAGCTTCGGGAGCCAGTGTCCTGCTCGGGGGAGACCCGCGGAGTGAGTGCTTCTGTCCAGGACCCTTCCAGCCCTCTGCCCACTCCACCCTCAGTCTCCCAGGACCCAAGGGCTAGGGGTTCTGAGAGGCCACATCTGTTATGGTAACAGCCCCTGACATTCCTTAGGGACTTGCTCTCCCCACTCTGAGTCCCTGACGCCACCCCTGACCCCAGGGTGGATATGTGGCCCAGTCCCAGCCAATCAGAGCTCTGCTTCCTCCCCCAAGTACTGGCAACAATGACCAGCGTGGAGGGGACCTGGTTGTCAAACAAGATAACCCAGGCACTTTTTATGGGGCCCCGGGACACAGACCCTGCCTCTTCTGCTGCTCTTGGACCCAGGAGAGGCACCCTGGCAGCTGTCCTGTCACCTGCAGAGGGGCCATCTGTGAATGGAGGCAGAAGGAGGGGCTCTTGAGAGCATCATGGATGACCAGGCCTCCCTGGGATTCTGCGGTCACCGGGCCCAGGACATCCCTCTGACCCCATGAGTTTCTGCTTCTGGCATTTTTAGGTGGGATCTATAACTTGCAGCCAAAACATCCTAACTGATATTCCCTAAAATGGATCCTTGAAGTCCAAGACACACCCCACATATTCGCTTTTAAGGCCTAGACCAACCCCCACTTTTACCCCAGGAGAATCAGAACCTGTGCCGGGGGCAGACCATCAGGGGAACGGGTGTGGCCTCACCCACGGAGACCAGGAGCCCAAAGGTCTCCAGCATCACATCGCGGTACAGGGTCCTCTGGGCGGGCTCCAGCTGCCCCCACTCCTCCCGGGTGAAGTCCACAACCACGTCCTCAAAGGTCACTTGCTCCTGAAACATCACACACAAGTGCCCTCAGCCAGGCCAAGCTGGCACTGGCTGCTGGTGGGAGAAGCTGGTGAATGGGGATGTCGGCCAAGCTGGATGGGAGGGGGTTTTCCCGGGTCTGGTGATTTGGGCCAGGTTTTTCCTGTGGGGCCTGGGGGCTCTGGAGGAAGGGGAGATCTTAGGATGTAAGAGGACACACCCTGTCTTCCAGCAATTTGGCTGGAGAAAAGTCTCTTGAAATAAGGAATGCTGCTGAGGAGTCAACAATGAAAGGAAGGACAGTCCTGGGCATGTTGGGGTCACCAGGAACTGTGCTTGCCTGAGAGGTCCCTGGGAGTGGCAGTGGGGGCAGGGAATACCTGGAAAACTGTCAGGTTGGATCCCTGCCTCAGCCTTGTGGCCGAAATAACATCCTGATGGGTCCAAGACAAAAGATGAATAACACAAAGCCCTTGTGAAAGAGGCGATTAAAGAAAAAATACTGGGGTATAGATGATCTTTCTAATCATGAGATGAAACCTAGATGTTTCCCCTCCTTCTCTATTAGTTATCTATTGATAACGTAACAAATTACCCCAGAGTTGGTGTCTTAAAGCAACACCCATTTACCATCTCAGTTCTGCAGGTCAGAACTCCAACAAGGCGCAGCTGAGCCCTCTGCTCGGGTCTCATGGGGCCAAAATCAAGTCTCAGCCAGACTGTGTTCCTGGCTGGAAGCTCTGGGGAAAAACTGCTCCCTGACTCATTCTTGTTGACGGAAATCAGTTCCTTGAGGCTGTAGGACGCAGTCCCCATTTTCCTGCAAGCTGTTGGTTAGAGGTCATTCTGAGCTCCTAGAAGCCGCCCCCTCCATGACAGCTTATAACATGGATATCTGCTTTCTTCTTGACAAGCTGAATGCGTATCTCCAACCTCCTCTCCCGCAACCAGCCAGGCAACCTGTTTTAAAACCAACCTGTTTTAAAAGGGCTCATGTGATTAGGTCAGGTCCACTCGGACTACCTCCCTTTCTTCAGGCCAATTGTGTACATGACATGACACAGTCAAGGGAGTGCCATCTCATCCTATTAACAGGTTCCGGGGACTATGCAGGGCATGCACACTGAGGGGGAGCAGGAAATCTGGGGGCATCTTAGAATTCTGATTACCATATTTCTCTCCAAGAAAGAGTTGAGATATTCAACTAGTAAAAACACATGCACTGCCAAACCACCATGAACAAATCTGAAGAACAGATGGCCAACTGGAAAACATATGCACAACATGTGATGAATCTAGGGCACTAATTTCTTTCCTTAATGCATAAAAAGCTCCTACAAATCAACAAGACAGAGGCCAACCACAGCAATCAAATGATGAGCGGCAGACCAGAGCCAGGAGGAAGCCCATGTCCTCAGGGAAAGGAAGGAAGCTCCTACCTGCTGCCTACGCTGGAGGTGCCTCCTTCATCTGTAATGACCTGCCCAGTCTCCACTGGCACCTGGGTTTGTGTCTGGATTCAGCAGGGAGGGGATGGTGGCCCCTGTGTCTGGCCAACTGGGAGTAAAGATGGCACAGGCTGCTGTGTACTGAGCACGTCTGATAGGCTAAGCACTGGGGTACAGCAGCTAAGGATTATTAGAGGGGGCTAAGCTTCACCAATCATAAAAATATATGCAAGAAAATGACAATAACAAAAACCCATGTGGTGGGCAGGGAAAGAGGAGCTCAAAAACCAGCTCAGCTTAAAACCAAGTCCTAATATAGGAAAGAAGGAGCCTAGATTAGTTAGGAAGAAGAAGATTGCTCAGATAACAGACTGGTGAAAACTTTAGCCACAAGGGGAAAATCTACCATATCCTGGAATATATTCTAGAAGAGTTACAGAAGATTTAAAAACTGACCCAGTAAAACCACCTCCCATGTCACCCATGCCAGGCCCTGGAACAATACTTCATCCCATTTAATCTCCGCAGCAACCTTGTGAGAGGTCCGCGCTGCTGAGAGCCCGTTTCACCGAAGCTGGGGGAGCTTACGTGTCTTGCCCAAAGTTATACAGCCAGAAGGCAGCAAGTCCAAGGGTTGCCTCTGCACGATTGTATTAAGAATCTGTTCCCTATATAAATTAAGTTTAAGCATATGAAGACCCACGTATAAGTAGCAAGTCAGTGTGGTTGTGGGGGAATTTCAAATCAGTGGGCAAGCTGGGTCATCTGGCTGTCTATTTAGGGGAAAAAAATCAATTGATCCCTACCTCACAATATAAATAAATTTCAGAAATCTTAAAGAGCTGAAAGTAAAAAGGAAATAAATTGGAGAAGTATAAGCCATTAGTTTAATAACCCTGGGACAGAGAAAGTCCTCACAGATAAGACATGGAACACTAAAAGTCACAAAGAAGAAAAATGAGTGTAGCAGGCAGAATACTGTCTCCCTAAAGATATTCACGTCCTAATCCCTGGATTACATGGCAAGATGGGATTAAGGTTGCTAATCAGCTGATCGTAAAGTAAGGAGATTATCCTGGAATATCCTGGTGGCCCAACATAATCACAGGGGCAGAAGAAGATAGAAAAGTCAGTGTCACTGTAATGAGATGTGAGGAAGACTCAACTGGCCAGTGTTGGCTTTGAAGATGGAAGGGGGACAGGAGCCCAGCAACGCGAGTGGCCTCTAGATGCTAGAAAAGGCAAGGAAGCGGATCCTCCCCTGGAGCCACCAGAAGAAACACAGCCCTGCTGACACCTTGATTCCAGTGCAGAGAGACTCATTTCAGATTTCTGACCTCAAGAACTATAAAATAATGAACATGTGTAGTTTTAAGCTACTAACTTTGTTGGGATTTGTTACAAAATCAATAGCAAAATAATACATTGAGCCATCAGAATTCATGACTTCTGCATGATAAAAGTCATTGCAAGCCACTTAAAGGACCCATGAGAGCAAATTAAGTATTTGCAACATAAATGAAAAGGATTGGTGGCCTTGTAAAGAGCTGGCAAACCAGTAAGTAAAGGCAAGTAGGAGGACAGAGACCCCAGCCCTTCAGAGAGGAGGAGGGGTGCGGACACAGGCAGGAAGTACTGTCACAATTGACTGTTCTTTCTAAATGCCTACATTTGTTTCTCCAGCAATTCCACTCCCCATCCCTGCTCCCCACAAGAACCTGGCTCCCCTGTGCATCGTTTACACCTACTGGGCAGGCTGGACGCCACCGGGAGGGGAGAAGACAGACTAGCCCTGTTCACCCTCCAGGAGAAACCCACCCAGTACACGACAGGGTAGACTGAGACCCACAGCTGGGAACAGCCTTCCAGACGGAGAAATCCTGAATTGTGGGAATCCCCTGCACAAAATGAAGCAAAGCTCTATTCCCATCTGTCAGAAAAAACGCACATAAACAGAGGGGAAATGAGGCGCATGGTGGTGACACCAGGAGCAGCTTTAGAGGGAAGCCTGGAGACTTTCTAAGAATGGCCTGACTTTTTTTTTTTTTTTAAAGATTGGCACCTGGGCTAACAACTGTTGCCAATCTTTTTTTTTTTTCCTGCTTTATCTCCCCAAACCCCCCCTGTACATAGTTGTATATCTTAGTTGCAGGTCCTTCTAGTTGTGGGATGTGGGACGCTGCCTCAACGTGCTCTGACGAGTGGTGCCATGTCAGTGCCCAGGATCCGAACCCTGGGCCGCTGCAGCAGAGCATGCGAACTTAACCACTCGGCCATGGAGCGGGCCCCAACCTGACATTTTTATAATGAGAACATCACTATGTGTATTGTGTGGCCTTCAACAGTAAGTCAGCCAACTCATCAAGCTAGAAATCACCAGAGAAAATTTCAGGTTTTTGACACAACATTAAGAACTTTAAATTTCTGAACCTTAAAAAAACAAACTCAGAGCAAACACATAGATGGTGCCTGGGCCGTGCCGGCACCGCATGAAGACACACATGGATTGCTCACTTAACATCCCCATGCCCTGGGGATCATGTCTACCCACTGTTCACCCTGGGATGTCAAGCAAGTTGCCCCAAATCAGCCACCGAGGACAGGGCTGCGCCATGATCCCCACCTGGGTCCTCTGGGCTGGGCCAACTCCCTGAAAAGTGAGGGAGAAAAGCAGGCCCGGGGCTGGAACAGGGTTCCAGGCCTGGGGGCCAGGCGGGGAGCTCGGTGCCCCACCTGGTTCCTCCTGGACAAACAGGGGACCCCTTAGATGTCACGGTGGCGTCGGCTGGGGCCGCCTCAGCTGGTATGTCGGCTGGCGTCGGCCGCTCGCTCACACTGTGCCCTGGTGCCTGAGCACAAACAGGGGCTGGGAGAGAGCAGGAGTGAGGACGCAGGTAGGGGTCTCGGCAGCAGGAACCCGGGGGCTGTTTCCTAGACTTTACTTTCGGACATTTAGAAATCGGAAGGGCCAGGACGCAGCAGGATGTGTGCTGAGCACGGGGCCCTCCTACAGCCAGAGGGTCTGAGCTCAGGGGCATCCTGAGCTCAGGCCTGGCTCAGCCACTCCCAGCCAGGGCCTCGGGGATGAGTGCCTCTGTGCCTTGGTTTCCACCTCCTTCCCACCTCATGGGGCTAATGTGGGGGCTGAAGAGGGTGACACGTGTCCAGCACTGACCACAGGGTTTGGAACGTTCATCGTTCCAGCCATTCACTGAGCACCTACTGTGTGCTGGCCTTTGCAGGTGGCAAGAATGGCCAGAACTGCTTCCCAAGGCCCCGGCCCCATCCAGCTGGACTAGGAGGCCTTGCTCTCAGTCTTTCTGCTACAAGTGCCTTCCCTTCATGGAAAGCGCCTGGCGTGGTCCCACCTCCGGGCCTTTGTTCATGCTGTTTCCTCTGCCCAGAACATTCTTTCTGTGCCTCGACCTCACTCCCTCCCCTCCTGCAGGTCTCAGGGAGGCCTCCCGGGCTGTGCTGGTCAATGCCTGATCCCCAAGCCCACCCTCTTCTGGGCCTCATTTCCCTGCACAACACTTGGAATATTTACTTTCCTCATAGGGACTGGGAGCCCCACAGGGATGGCGAATTCTGCTCATGCTGTCTGTTTCCGCACCCACAGTGCCTGCGGCAGTGCCTGGTCCCTGGCAGTTGCTCAGCACCTGTCTGCCAAGTGACTGGCTAAAAAGAGTGAGCTGGGAGTACTGACCTAGAACCCTGTGTGGAGCAAGTGCCAGGCACATCAGTGGATGGATGAGCGATGTCTGCCAGGGCAGCATGGGGCAGCTGGGGGAATCTGAGAGGTCCTCTCAGAGGTGAGGTGTGAGAGCTGGAGGAGGATGTGGAAGTGGCTAAAGCACAGTCCTGGCAGGGGGCAGACTTAGGGCAAAGGCCCTAAGGCCAGAAGGAGCCTGGTGGGGACCCAGGTCAGGGCCTGAGAGATCCAAGTGTGAGGGTGGCAGTATACTCACCCGGGCCCCGGCAGCAAGGAGCCCAGCGGTCATTCCCTCCTCCTCTGGCCTGTTACAGGAACAGCCGGCTCCTCTGCAGGAAGTTGTGGGGAGAAAAGGAAGTGAGAGACTGGGCAGGCACCTGTGGTGACCAGAACCCCCTGCCCTGGAACCCCTGTGCAGGCAGGAGAAGGAGCTGTGGCTCCAGCAGCCTGGAGTCCAGCACCCACGCCAAACCTTGCAACAGTGAAACCTCAGTGGGGCACTTTCCAAGCGCCTGCATCTGCCCAGTGCCATTCCACATGCTATTCCAGGCACTGTTGAAGGATGATCTCAAACTTTCCCACCCTATTCTGCAGAGAGGGAAACTGATAGCCAGGGGGCAAAGGGCACAACCGTGGCTGCACAGATGATTGCCAGAGTGAGGGCTATTTCTGCGACTATGACAGAAAGCCAGACAGTTCTGGGGTTCCTGGACACGGTTTGGTGTGCCTCAGTTTCTCTCTCCCATAAAAAGAGGGTGGTGACCCAACATGAAGACGACGGGCACTGAAGGGTGAAAAGGGCAAATGGAGCTGGGCGGCGTCCCCGAGAGGCGCCTGTGCGGGAGGGAAGCCTGAGCTTCCGGTAGCAGCTCCGGAGCACCCTGCACGCACATCCCTGGCAGGCTGCCCACCACCGAATAGGCCGAAGGAAGGAGGGTCCCCCGGTCTCGGGGCCTGCACAATCCCCAATTCTGCCCGGCGTGCTGTGCCCGCTGTCTTCACTGCAGTTTCCAGCTGGGAGTCATCTCGTTCAGCGATGTGCTTATGGGTTTCTTTCCTTTTTTTTTTGTGCTGCTTTTTCTCCCCAAATCCCCCCAGTACATAGCTGCATATTCTAGTTGTGAGTGCCTCTGGTTGTGCTATGTGGGACACCGCCTCAGCGTGGCCTGACCAGCGGTGCCATGTTCGTGCCCAGGATGCGAACCAGGGAAACCCTGGGCCGCCAAAGCGGAGCACCCAAACTTAACCACTGGGCCACAGGGCCCACGCACTTATGGGTTTATCATTTCCCCGCCCACCTGTGGGCTCCGGGAGCGGACACAATATTGGGATATCCACAGAGGCTCTGGGGCATAAGACAGGCCCTAGCCCCCAGAACATCTGAATACGTGTTTGTTGAATTAATGAAGGAGCCTGGATGCCGGACATGCAGTCAGTGCTCAACAAAAGCTTAATATATAATGAGTCTGTTTTCTGGGTCCTAGGGAACTGGAATTAAAATCTTGTGCTTTTGGTCTTCCTCACCTTCATCCTTTAGGGACAGAAGCCCCCTTCAGGAAGGTGAGGCTCCAGAGATGACTCCGTGGTGGGGCATCGGCCTTCCCCACCCTCCAAACCCTGGACATCTCACCAAAGCAGGGGAGGGATGCAGGTCAGGCTAGCTCCAGTCTCTGAAGAGTCTGGCTGGTTGTTTCTCCGACTGTGCCTCCAAGCCGGGAGACCCTGACCCCTTCTGCCAAAGCCAGGACCCCAACCCGCCCCAACCCTCCTCTCAGACTCTACGAACCCCTAAACCCGAGCCCCGCCCACTAGGACCCGCCCCCACCACCTCCAAGGCGACCCGGCCGGGCCTAAAGCAGCAAAGGGGACTCGACACGGATGCGCGCAGCTGGGTACACACCCTGGCCGGGGTCCCAGGGAAGACCCCGGATGCCACACCCGCTCGGCCTCTCGCGGTCTGGCTGCTCCAAGCCTACTTACCCGCAGGACGGCAGGACAAAGGCCGTGGCCGCCACAAGCCAGCACTGCGCCTGCGCAGGCAGGCGTCGAACTACATCTCCCAGAGGGCCGCGCGCTCCCTTCCGGTTATTCAGGGGCTCGCCCCGCCCCTACCTGGGACTCTCGAGCCGCAGCGGCAAGGGTCGGAATCCGAGCGTGGCCTCGCGGCCTCCCGCCTGGCTCAGCTTCCCCGCTCCATCAGAGGTTCACTCACCTGCTAGTTGGCAGCACAAAGACTGCGGCCGCCATCAACCTGGGCTGCGCTTGCGCGTGCCGAACTACATCTCCCAGAAGGCAGCGCGCGCTTCCGTGCTCGCCCCGCCCTCCCCTGGGTCCGAGGCTGCTAGGCTCGGATCTGAGCTCGGCCCTTAGATCCCGCCGGCGTCATCCCAGCCCGTCGCCCCGAAACCCTCCCACGCCGCACTCCCTCGTCTAACGAGAGTATGAAGGCCACGTCCGCCGCTGGCCGGACTGCGCCTGCGCGGAGGGCGCCGAACTACAACTCCCAGAAGGCCACGTGCGGTTCCCGTGTGCCTCTGCCCCCGTTATTCAGGACCGGAGTCCGAGTGTGGACGCCTGTACTTGTCACTTACGTAAATATTCGCTGACCGCTGCTTGAGAGGCCTTGCGAACGTCGCCCCCGCGCTGTTAAGGCGGGTGACTGACTGGGGAGCTAATTTAGAGCGCCCATGAGTGCAGGAGGATGTGGAGCATGGCGGTGGGCAGATCCTGGGGAGAGCCTCCCAGACAGAGGACAGCACAGCTAGTGCGCGGTGCGCGAGGCCTGGGGTTGTGGGAGCATGGCAGCGCCGGTGAGGAGGATGCTGTGAGCGTCCAGGTGAGTTCTCTGGAACAGCTCACACTGCTCTCATCTTGAAAACTATACTGCAACTTTATTGTTGTAAAACAAACCCGTATTTACAAAAAACACCAAGAAATTTAAAACAAAAGCATTCACTAAAATTCCAAACACAGGAGCCGTTTTCATTCTGCCACACTGACCCAGTTTTGGACACTTCCCAGGATTCAGTACAGCCTTATAAGAAACCACACTTTTAACTTTTAAAAACTACTTTACATGTTGCTGGGTAATTGCCAAAATTGTGCATTTGAATAGCAGCATAATATTCAAAACTGAGGTGCCCTCCGTGACTGAATTTGTTGTCTGAACGTTGACTGAGGCCTGCCAGGCGCTAGGCCCGCGCTCCAGAGCAAGCAGTGCACGAGGTGTGGACATTGACCACCTGGAATGTGTGTCCTGGAGCTGGACTCACTTTCACCCATGTCCTGGAACATCCATAGAGCAGTGAGTACAAAGAGTCTAAGAAAACCAAGGCTGAGCCGTGTGCGTTTGCCCTTTTAAAAAAGGACTGGCGGATTCCACTCAGGGCTTGCGTGCTGGCTTTAAAGCTGAGAAAAAGTTCCAAGACTTGGGCATTTTTTTCTTTGGGGGAAACAATTATTTCTTTGAAACAACTCCAACTCTGAAAACAGCAGAAAAGATAATAAGAATTCTCATGTTAAGAAAAAACCTAGCTGGTTACATTTTCTTTACACACATAGACACTTGTAAGGTTTGGCTAGTTCACACGTGAGTGAAAGACTTTAAATTTCCCTTAAACGAGTCCCAAACCCGTGGTGGTTATGAAGCGATCAGATGGATGGCTCACAGTTGGAACGCGCTACTGTAGACAGAGCAAAGGCAGGCCTGCTGGCTGTTCTTTAAAGGGGTCCTGTACCAGACCCAAAAGGCCGGAGGGCCCACATTTGTGACTGTTGTACTGAAAGTCCACCTGCTCTTCTCTCTGCTGCAGGAAGAAGGCTTTAAAATATACACAAAATGGCAACGATCAGTCCCCTCACCCTCAAACTCAAAGGCAACAAAATAGTTAACTTTTTTTTCGAACTTCTTCAACAAAATGTGTGCTCTTTCCTCCCTAGTTTCCTTTTAATGGATCAAATGGTGTGAACGCACTACTCATGATGAAAGCTTTTTCCCAGAAGGTCTGGGTGGAGTCTTGGGTGTGAGCTGCTGGTGGTGCCGCCCAGGAGGCTGCAGCCCAGTCCTGACGGCACCTGCCCAGCTCCCTCTGTTACCTTCCTCTGGCCTTCTAATACTTGAATGAGATGACCCCCAGCTGGGCTCTTTCTAAAGGGGTAGAAGCTAATGGCTCCAGCCAGCTGGTACCTTGTGGACAGGTAAGCCCATGTCCCAGGTCTGGATTTCTCAAAAGAAGCCAAAGATCTGGATTTGTGTTTGAAATCTCTTGACTTTTAAAAGCTTGCAGGGAATTCAAAGGTTTTAAAAACACTCTGCCAGGGGCCAGCCTGGTGGCATACTGGTTAAGTTCCTGCGCTCTGCTTTGGCAGCCTAGGGTTTGTGGGTTTGGATCCTGGGTGCAGACCTACATACTGCTCAAGCCATGCTGTGCTGGCCTCCCACATACAAAATACAGGCAGATTGGCATGGATGTTAGTTCAGGGCCAATCTTCCTCCAATCAATCAATCAATCAATGAACACTCTGCCAGTCAAATAAGATGAGCTGAAGGCTACATCTGTACTGTCCTCACCCCTCCAGACCATGGTGTAACTACTGGCTGGGCCCTTCTCAGCCCAAGTGCAGCATCCTCCAAGCACAGAGGCCACCTCCGTGTGGCCAAGACAGGACCCCACCATGAGCAGCTGCATTACAAATCAGTGTAGTTTTCAAGGAGTTCTACAATCATATCATGAATAGCACAACTGCATTACGTGGCCTTTTTGTTAAAAAAGTTAATTTGGGGGCTGGCCCGGTGGTGTAGTGGTTAAGTTCACATACTCCGCTTCAGTGGCCTGGGGTTCGTGGGTTCGGATCCTGGGCATGGACCTAGCACCACTCATCAAGCCATGCTGAGGCAGTGTCCCACAGAAGAAATAGAAGGACCTACAACTAGGATACACAACAATGTACTGGCGCTTTGGGGAGAAAAATTTTAAAGAAATAAAATTTTTAAAGTTAATTTTTTTGATATATACATTAAATACACTACAACGTTTATACAGCCCTTTGGATACATTTCTTCCTTTTTAAAAAATCATTTCGGGAACCTCAAAAGCTAGCAGTGCCCAGCCCTCCTCCGACCCCAGAGGCCCTGGCTGGGCTGGGGAGGAGGGTGGCCCGCGTGGCTCAGGTCCTCCGGAGCACCCAGGACCGGGCCCAGCAGCTGCTCTGTGACGGGCCGGAGGACAGACAAGGGGGCTGGGAAGCGTCCCGCTGGGAGGTAGCTGGGGTCTTGCAGGGGATGCTGGCCGAGGAAGGCAGAGGGCGAGGCAAGGCTGCGTGCAGTGGGCAGAAGAGAAGGGGCTGCAGCTCTATCCCACAGCGGCTTGGGCAGCATCTTGGGACGGGGCAGGCTGGGCGGAGAACTCAACTTGGCGGTTTCCGTGAATCGGAGCAGCTGCCGGGATTCGCAGCAGCGCCTCTCCAGGCCCGGGACCTTGAGCCACATCCTCCCCTCCATCAGCCCAGGCACAGACCGGTGAGGATGGCCTGCATGGCGCGGCCACCGCCTCCTCGGAGGTCCAAGGACGGCTTCCCTGGCTGGTAACTGCAGCCCTGGACGGGGCGTCGGCAGGGGCGGCAGTCACCTCCTCATTCATGCGCAGCAGCACCCACCCCTTCCCCCGAGGGCGGCTGCGGCTGGCTCCGGCGCAGCGCAGACTGTTCTGGGCGGAGGAGGGTGTGAGGAGGCCCGGGGTGGAGACCGCAGTGGGCAGAGGCGGCGCGGACTCAGGAGGCGGCCTCTTCCACCCCAGCGCCGGGCGGTCTGGGTGGGGATAGGCTGTTGAAGCAGGAAGGGGCGCCAAGAGCTGGTCTGCGGGGCTTGATGTCATTTCAATGTCTGTGTTTCCGAGGGACCCTGCCTACTGCGGGCCCGGGATGCGCTGGAGGGGAATGAGCTGGAGTCACAGTTCGCTCAGGGCAGCTGAGACGTCTAGAGGTGAAGACAAGAAGGAACGGAGAGGAAGACTGGGGGACAGTGCAGAGGAGCAAAGAAATCAGGGCAGGCTCGGGGGTCCCCTGAGGGGAGGCGGTTCGTTTTCTTTTGCACAAGGGGAAGATGAGATCTTTGGACAAGCTCGACTGGAGAATAGAGGGACGCCAGGCAGATGTCTCTGGAGGACAGTTGGTCGGTAGGATGCCCAGGCAGACATCTTTGGAGAACCCCATCCAGGGGTTCAGGAGCTGTGAGCATGTGGATGGCCGTGGGCCACAGGGACTGGCAGTGGTGGGTCTGCGGGGCCTGCCGGCCACCCTGGCAGCCCCTGCTCTCATGCGGTCCTCCTCCACCAGCAGACCTATGAATGGGCCTCTGGCTTACGGTGACTGTAATGAAAACTGCGTGGAATGAACCCCCCGCCCCCAACAAGTGGGGACATGGGCCTTCTGTCCACATACCCTGTTGTTTAGATGAGCCTTTCCATCATGTGCGCTGTACCTGAAGGGTCAGGGGTTGGACTGCGGGCCAAAACTTCGCCTTGCCACCTGAGCTGCAAGGGAGAAGCCTGGTATCACTAGGATGACAAGGCAGCAGAAGGGGAGCTGGAGCCCAGCAGAGATTAAGGCCTAGGGTAGAGGCCAGAAGCTCCCAATGGGAACTGCAAGGATAAGCGGGCATGTGGGAGGGAGCTGAGCAGTGAGGTCTGGAGGTCGAGCTAGAGAGAGGTCTGAGAAGGCAAGCATTGCACAGCCCAGGGGGCAGGGGACAGAGGCCACGAGGGGGTGCCAGAGGCAGCTGGGTCGAGAAGAAGCAGTGGGCAAGTCCAAAGGCTTTTCCAGTTGAAAGGTGACTTACAGATGATTTAAACGAGAATGCCTCTGCTTACTAGGCTCAGAGTCAATCCAACACTGTGTTTCCAAGTGAAGGCAAAAGAAAAAAAAAAGGACAAAAACTTTTAAGGCTTTCGTTTGCACAGGGGCCAGTGGTGCCCAGCGAGAAGGGTTGGGAATAGATGAAAAGCTGAATCCACTACGGTGGCGGTGGCCTAGTGGTTAAGTTTGTGTGCTCGGCTTTGGTGGCCTGGGGTTTGCCAGCTCGGATCCCAGGCGTGAACTTACACACCTCTCATCAAGCCATGCTGTGGTGGCATCCTACATACAAAATAGAGGAAGAGTGACAACAGATGTTAGCTCAGGGCCAATCTTCCTCTCTAAAAAAAAAAAAGCTGAATCCAGGCAGGTGCGGTGGGGCACCAGCCACCAGCTCTTGGGAGATCCAGAGTGACCATAAAGCCAGATCTTTACGTGACATCTATGGTTTAAAAAAATATTGGCATCTATCTCCAAAAAAAACCAAAAAACAAAAATTCTGTGAGTCAAACAAAACGTGTGGGTCAGTTCTCCTCAGACCTAAAAGCCCTGCCTGCACTCGATGGAGACAGGAAGCAGATTATTGGGTGCCTGGGGCTGGGGAGTGGCAGGCAGTGGGTACCAGGTGCCCATTTTGAGGGTGATGAAAATGTTCCAGAATAGATAGTGGCTATGGTTGCACAACGCTGTGCACGTCCTTAATGTCCCCGAATTGTGCACCTCAAAGAGGTACACATGGCAAATTTTATGTGTATTTTACCAGGAAAACGGGGTGGGGGGGGGGGGAAGGAGGGGAAAGGCGAATAAAAGGAAACTAAGGCAGAAGCCGGGGGCGAACGGGCAGTCGCCAGGAGCACCGCGTGCGCCCTCGGCCTCGCGCTCAGGGGCGGGCGTGGACACCGGTGGTCGGCGAGCTGCACGGCGCGGCGCGGGGGAAGGCGCGGCCGCACTCGCCGCAGGCGAAGGGCCGCTCGGAGCCGCGGGGCCTCCTTGCGGGCGGCCCCGAGGCGGCGGGGACCGGGGGGCGCTCCCCGCGGTGGCCGCGCTCGTGCTGCCCGAGGGTCGAGAGCCAGGCGAAGGCAGCCCCGCACGCGGCGCACTCGAAGGGCCGCGCCCCCGGCTCCCCCGCGCCCCGGCCTCCCTCCACCGCCCGGCCTCCCCCAGCGCCCCGCCCTCTGCAGCGTGGCCGCCACCTTCTGGTCGCCGCTCCCCCGAGGGCCAGGCAGCGTCCTGGGCCTGTGCGGGGAGGGGTGGCTAGGTCCTCGGAGCTCTGTCTCTGGCCGGTCCGCAGGGAGGCTCGTCCCAGACACGAGGCTTCCGAGGCGCACGGGCGCGCCTGGTGGGGGAGAGGGGCGTTAGGGAGGGGCCATGCCCCGCCCCCCGCCCCCCCCCCCCCCCCCCCCCCCCCCCCCCCCCCGCATCTCCCGATACTCAGGGAGGTGGAGAAGGGCAGGCAGCCGGCGGCCCGCAGTCAGCACGGACTCCGCGCCCTCGAGCCTATCCTTCCTTAAGACAAAGGGCCGGGGGCCGGCCCCGTGGCCGAGTGGTTAAGTTCGCGCGCTCCGCTGCCGCGGCCCAGGGTTCCGATCCTGGGCGCGGACATGGCACCGCTCGTCAGGCCACGTTGAGGCGGCGTCCCATATGCCACAACTAGCACGACTTGCAACTAAGATATACAACTATGTACCAGGGGGGATTTGGGGAGGTAAAGCAGAAAAAAGATTGGCAGTTAGCTCACAGTTGTTAGCTCAGGTGCCAATCTTAAAAAAAAAAAAAAAAAGACAAAGGGCCGGTGAGGTCGGGGGCAGGAGGAGCCCTGGGCCCCCCTCTTCCTCACCTGGTCCCAGCCGCTGCAAGGACCCCATGCCCCAGCTCCCTCAGTCTGTCCCCCTTGAGCTTGGCCAGCCCCTTCACGCTGGGAGGCTGAGGCCCTGGTGGCGGGGTGGAAGCGTCTCAGTGGCCCCCACAGTGGGGTGGGGGGTGGGGTGGCAGATGGCCCCAATATCTCAGTCCCCACAGTGAGTGTGCGAGGTTTCCGGGGCAGGTGTGAGGTTCACCACTGAAGCCCTCCAAAGCCTTCCATTAGCGAAGTCTACAGATGGGGTGGGTCCCTAATCCTCAGCCAGGCCCCAGCTCCCTCCCATGCCTCAGGATCTCCACTGGGCCGACACTCACCGAGGGAGCCGAGGGTGCAGGGCGCCTGGGGCCCCACCCTGGTGTGGAGACTCTGCTGGGTCCGGGCAGGCTGCAGCCACTGGGCCTCCGGGGGGAGCAGCTGGAATGCCTGGAAAAGCAAACACAGTTCTGCTAAGCAGCTGCCCCGGTACCACCAGGGCTGGGAGCAGAGCTATCCTCCTGGTGCCACAGCACAGCAGAGGCACAGCATTGCCCTCTGCCAAAAATCCAGGAGGAGCAAAATTAAAGCCACCAAACCAATGCATAGTATTTAGGAAGGATTTATTGTGCATATAAGAACAGTTCAAGAACGGGGAGCTTTCAAATCCAAAACTGATGTGAAGCTCAGGGCCTGATGTTAGGTGCAAATGAGGAGCGGGTGCAAACATTACGATGGCGGTCATTACAATGCGGGTTTGGCAGCCAGCGAAGGGATTGGTTCAAAGTCATTATCTTATACTGTTTTTAGGAGGATGACTTACATTTCTTTTACGATTATCAGAGGCATTTGCAAGAGGTGGCCCAAGTTAAGTTTCATTTGTTTTGCAGAGTAAGCTAAATTAAGTTTCACTAATGTGGCTTAACGGTTTTGTCTGCTCAGGGAATGTTCAAGTCTGGTCTCCATTTTGTATTTAATGTAAACACCCAAATACACATTCTCAGAGGGCTGTTACTAGGACCATCGACATAATTCAAGGCCGGCCCCCCACCCGCACCCCGCCGTGCACAGTGGAACTGCAGGACCCCTTTGTGATGGGTAGTTTTATGTGTCAATGTGACCAGGCTAAGGGATCCCAGATCGCTGGTAAAACCTAATATCTGTGTCTGTGAGGGTGTCTCTGGAGAAGATTAGCATTCGAATCGGTAGACTGAGTCAAGAAGATCATCCTCACCAGTGTGGGGGGGCAGGGGCGTGGCCCAATCCTCCACGGCCCAGGTTGAACACAAAGGGAGGGGAAGGGCAAGTTTGCTCCCTCTGCTTGGGCTGGGACAGCCATCCTCTCCTGTCCCTGGACATCAGCCCCCTCCTCGATTCCTGGGCCTTGGGCCGCAGACTGGGCCCTACACTTTTGGCTCCTCTGGTGCTCAGACCTTCAGATGCACGATGGAACTCCCCACAGCTTTCCTGGGTCTCCAGCCCGAAGACAGCGGGTCGCACGTAGGACTTCGGCCTCCATAATTGTGTGAGCCAATTCCTTATAATAAATCTCTCTATATCTGTATAAATCCAACTGGTTCTGTTTCCCTGGAGAAACCTGACTAATACACCCTCGTTTGAAAATCACTGACTATCTCATGGCAGCGACAGCAGAGCATTAAGCAGAGCGTGGGCCGTGGGTGAGGACCCCGGTCACTGTCACCTGCCAGGGCTCTCAACTGTCCCCTGCAGCTGCACGGTCCCTAAGAAGAAGCCCCCTGAGAGGGTGATGAGCAGCAGTGGGGTTTGAGGTCCCACCTATCACATATAACACTCCCATCGCCTATCCCACCAAGGGGCACACAAATCCCACCCAAAGAGGAGTCACCACTGCCTCGGAGCTTGCTGCTGATGAGGGAGAATCTGAAAGACGGGCCTGGCTTTGCATCCAGACTCCAGCCCCACTTGCTGTGTGACGCTGGGCAAGGAGCTTTCCTTCTCTGGGCCTTAAAGGGCATATCTGCGCAACACGCTCAGAGCTAGGCACCCAACAAGGGTTTCGCAAACTTCCGCTATGGTCACTGGATAATTCAGGGTTTGTGACCAAAGGAAGAACACAGTAACACTGCTCAATACAAATTGACAAGATTCAAGAAAGTATGTTAGCACAAACAAAAAATGAGAGGTGAGCAGGAGGTCAGGCACACGTTGGCAAGGCCAGTCTTGGGCTGGTCTCTCTGCTTTCTGCTGCTCTCACCCTACTCGCCTGGGGGCAGAGGACTGAGACCCCAGGGCCCAGGCGGTGGGGGTGGGAGTGGGGCGTGGGGGTGTGGGTGGGGAGGAATGAAAGTGTCTCTGGAGAGAGGATTGATGGGGGAGGCAGCCGGGGCTGGAGTGCGGTGGGAGGAGATTAAGGTCCAGGATTCTCCTGCTTTCAAGTTAGGAATACGTGGATGGTGTGTTTGGTGGGATTATTGGTTTTCTGTTTCTTGCTAAATACTAGTTTTGAATGTAAAACATCTGCCAAATTCTCTAATAGTCACCAGGAGAGCTGTCAGCCACACAGAGGCAGACGGGACTCCCTTTTGCTCCTCTTCCCAGTATCTGCCCGCCAGGGACCCTCAGCAGGAGCGAGTGCGGCCTCCTCAGGGCCAGGACGTGACTAAGGATGGAGGTGGTTGCTGAGTGAGAGAGAAGCCCTGTGTGTGTGTGTGTGTGTGTGTCACGGTGGGCGTGTTTAGTCCTCCTGATTTGGAAGCATGGCTGCCATCCAGAGCCGCCTGAGGGTGGAGACACACACACTTAGGCCAGCACGGAAACCAAGGCCCCTGGGCTCTGTCTCTACCTCCAAATGCAAGAAATGTTTCCAGATCCCACCAACCTGGGCTCTCATCATTCCAGGGACAGTGAGTGGGGCGCGGACCCAGAGGTGTTGTCTAACCAACCAAGAAAAAGAAAACAAGAATAAAGGAGAAATGTGAATGCCAACCAACTATTTACTGCTGTTGAGGGATTACTGTTAATGGTTTTATTGAGGCAACAGTGCTGGGTTTATGTTTGAAAAACAAAGTCTTGGTGGTTGCCAGAGGCACAGGGGTGGGGGTGGGAGGGCTGAAATGGGTGAAGGGGGTCAAAAGGTACAAACTTCCAGCTGTAAAATCAATGAGTCCTGGGGCTGTAATGTACAGCATGGTGACTATAATTAATAATACTGGTGGCCAGCCCCGTGACTGAGTGGTTAAGTTTGTGTGCTCTGCTTTGGCAGCCCAGGGTTTCGCTGGTTCGGATCCTGGGCGAGGACATGGCACTACTCATTAGGTCCTGCTGAGGCAGCGTGCCACATAGCACAACCAGAGACACTCACAACTAGAATACACAACTATGTACTGGGAGGCTTTGGGGAGAAAAAGAAGAAGAAGAAAAAGATTGGCAACAGTTGTTAGCTCAGGTGCCAATCTTTAAAAAAAGAAATAATAATAATACTGTATGGTATTGTAGGGGAGGAAGACATTTCCTCTACCCAATGTGGGTTCTTCTGGCCAGAGAACGAATTAAATTCACATGAAACAGAATAACAGGAGAAAATTAAACAAAGCTTTATAACATGTATACATGTTAGGCAAGCTAAGCAACTCGCCAAAATGGCTGGAGCCCCCACCTTAAATATCATCTTCAGCTAACGACAAAGGAGGATGTTGGGGGTGGAGGGGGAGTCAATCTTGGGAGATCACCACACAAGTACAGTAAACAAATGCAGATTTAAGTCTTTGCCTTTGGCATTGATTAAGAGTTTCTAGAGATAAAGTCATCCCCCCCTTCTTCCTGGTACAGAGAGGGAGACACCTTTACAGATGGAGATTTCCTTTACAATGTAAATGTCTCCTAACAAAGGGCAAGCAAGTTCCACTCCTCAGAGCCTCCTTCCCATCTGCAGTTTATTAAAAACAACCAGCCCCAAATAATCCTCATGCCAAAGAGACATATCTTGGGGTGGCCAATTCCAGGCCCCCACAGTATATTTGAAAGTTGCTGAGAGAATAGATCTTAAAAGTTCTCAGAACAAGAAGAAAAAGTTTGTAACTATGTGTGGTGACTGCTGTTAACTACACTTAGTGTGGTGATCATTTTACAATATGTACAAACATCGAATCATTATGTTGTACACCTGAAACTACTATAATGTTGTATGTCAATTATATCTCAATAAAAATGAAAAAATTTAAAAAATTAAAAATAAAATATTACAGATACAGGTAAAAAAAAAAAAAAAAAAAGAGAGGAAAAGAAAGCATCCTTGCACCCAGGCCCACCCTGCAGCACATGGAGATGGTGTGCGAGCATGTCTGTGGTTCCGTAGGGGGAGAGTCCAGGACGGAGAGGAGGCTCCCATCCACACGGCTGGCTGTGTGTCAGGCGCCTGTGGTCCACCCAGGGCCACCTTCTCCAACAAGCGCTGGAAACATAGTGCCCAGGGCCCGTGAAACTTTTTTTGGAGGAGGGGGTTTCTCATGATAATGTTTTAATTTCTTTTAAAATCAGATGGAAAAAAATGAACATAGTGACTATTCCAGCCTGGAATATATTCATCTTTATACCGACGTGGTAATAAAAAATGACTTTTAATATTACTTTGTGGAGGCTCATGAACATAATTTTTTTTAAAAGATTGGCACCTGAGCTAACATCTGTTGCCAATCTTTTTTTTTTCTTTCTTCTTCTTCTCCCCAAAGCCCCCCAGTACATAGTTGCATGTTCTAGTTGTAGGTCCTTCTGGCTCTGCTATGTGGCATGCTGCCTCAGCATGGCCTGATGAGCAGTGCTAGGTCCACACCCAGGATCCAAACTGGGGAAACCCTGGGCCGCCGAAGTGGAGCGCGTGAAATTAACCACTCAGCCATGGTGCCGGCCCCACATGAATACAATTTTTGGTATTATGTTTACAGGGCAGAAATACTTGGGGCCCACAAAAGTCCAGCTGCAACCCTGTTTAATGACTCTATTCTTGCTTCTTTGGTGTATGGAGTGTGTGTTAGTTTCCTGTGACTGCTGTGGCAAATTATGACAAGCTTAGAGGCTGAAAACAACACAAATTTCTCTCTCACAGCTCTGGAGGCCAGGAGTCCTGTGGTCACTGGGCTAAAGTCATAGTGTCGGCCAGGGCTCCTTCCTTCTGGAAGCTCCAGGGAAGATTCTGTTTCCTGGCCTTTTCTCAGCCTCTAGAGGCACCCACATTCTGTACTGTGTTTTGGGATTTGTGGGATGGGTGAGAGATCTGGAGCTCAGGCCTCCTAGGTGTGTAGAAACAGCCTTGCACAGTGGTTGGATGGAATGTCCTTGAGCCTGTCACAGGAGTGGTGCTTGTGATGCTCCGGGAATACAGGAGCTTGGAACCAGGGGCCCTGGGCTCACCTGGGATGGGTCTCTTTGGGACCTCAGGCTCTTCTCATCTTCCTCCTCGCCAATGCTCCCATCCTGGTGGTGGGTGAGAGATACCAGAACTGGGTGGGAGAAAGGGATGGTGAGAGAGACCTGTGCAATCCGAGCCCCCAACTCCCCACATACCCTTCACAGGGAGGGCAACATGTCCCAGGAGCATCTCTCAAGACCCCCAGTGAGGCCGAGGCAAGAGCAATGAGGGGCCACCACTTCCATCCTTCCAACAAGCTTCTAAATGCAGCCCCACCCCCTTGCCCCAGACTCTCCATGGCTTATGCCCATGATGACTCAGGCATGAGCCTGTGGTGACTCCTGGGTCTTCTCACCCAACACTCCATGCCCAGGAGCGCCCCTGAGGGACCCAGAAGGACCTTCGCTGCAGTGCCCACTAACAAGGAAAGCCTGGACCCAAGCCCTCATCCCACATCCAGGAAGCATCTAAAGGCATGCTGGAATATTCCTGAGGTGGAATGCTGTCAAGCAGCAAAGATGGTTGAAGCAGGATCTACCACAAAACATAATGTAGCGGGAGAAAAGCCAGGGCAGAATAAGAGCTACAGAAGGACACCATTTATGGAAGGTTTAGGACATGGGCGACAGAGCCATATACTGTTATGGACCCAAAATAAGAGGAAAAAGTAGAAACACACACGTGAAAAGAAGAATCAAGACCTTGTTCCCCTCTTCGGGGGGAGCAGGGAGGGGCAACAGGAAGTGGAGATGTGCGCTGGGGACCCAACGAACTCCATGGTGTGTTATTTCTTCAAAAACAACCCAAAGCCAGGAGGCTGGGCTCTGCAATGGCTGCATGGCAGGTACATGGGTATTCATTATAATACTTTCTCTATAGTTTAGTAGGCTCAAAATATGTCATATAAAAAGCAAATAGTTGCTTTGGAAGACAGTTTGGCAGTTCTTCAAAAAGCTAAAGTTGCCATATGACCCAGCAATTCTACTCCTAGGTATAGACCCAACACAAATGAAAACATGTGTCCACACAAATACTGGCACACAAATGTTCACAGCAGCATTATTCACAACAGCACAAAGGTGGAAACAACCCAAATGTCTATCAACTGATGAATGAATAAACAAACTGTGGTGGTCTAGCCACACAATGGAATATTATTCAGCCATAAAAAAGAATGAAGTACTGATACAGGTTGCAACATGTATGAACCCTGAAAACCTTATGCCAAGTGCAAGAAGCCAGGCACAAAAAGTCATGAGTTGTATGATTCCATTTCTATAAAATGTCAAGAATAGGCAAATCCATAAAGACAGAAAGTAGATGAGTGGTTGCCAGGGGTGGGGTGGGGAGGGGGAACGGGGAGTGACTGATGATGGTGTGAGGTTTCCTTCTGGGGTGAAGAAAACGTTCTTGGATTAGAGAGTAGTGATGGTTGCACAACTCTGTGAACCACTGAATTGTACATTTTAAATAGGTAAATTATATGGTATGGGAATTATGTTTCAATAATGCTATTATTTTTTAAAAAGAAAACACAAGAGCAACATCACTAAAAATGGCAGAGTAGGGAGCTCCCCAAATCCATCTGTCCACTGAAGCAACAACTAAGCGGCAAGACTTTCCAAGCTCACTTTTTTGGAACTTCAATCTAATACAAAACTTACAACGAGGGGAGTGAAAGAAAGAAGCTGCAAGAAAAGGCTGTGGCATTTTAGCTTACCTGCCTACCAACCCCATTCTACAGCTAGATGGTGGCTGTGGGGATGGCAGTCCATGTTCCTGGTGTGGCTTGCTGAAGCCACAGGGAGCAACACATATCTTGTTCTTAAAGAACTGTGATTGTGTGTTTTGACATGGCTGGTGACTCCCTGAAAGGTTGGTTCAGGGGTTTGCCTGTGTTATGCACCCTCAGAACTCTCAGGACTGGAGTGGCCTCCTGGGCAGCATTTGTCAAAAGCATTTACAGGCATATGCTAGCCACAGTCACCTGAAGCAAGGGACAAGTGCTGGAGCAGCAGCAGAGAGGCCTAAGAGCCCAGGAAGGAAGAGGCTGGGGGAAAGAGATACACAGGGGTCTACTGGGGGTCTAGTGGCCATGCACATGCCCAGGGCTAGTTGCATCGTAGGAAACATGAGAAGACCGTAGGCTTTCATCTCTGACTGATCCTTAGGCTCCACATAAGCAGGAAGTGAAGGCTCAGAGTTGTAAATGGCGTAGCTAAGCATTGAAGGAGCACCTCAACTCAGAGCCAACCTACAAAAACCAGGAGAGTATTATTATTTTTTTTGGCTCCAGGCATTTAAGGAAATCTCTGCCAAATCACTAGCTGACCACTAAATTAATGAATCGGAAACTTTAGTGATCATATACAACAAAGAATGTTGTCTTCACAAAAATGGTTTAGAAAAGTCACTAAAACAAACAATTACAACCCACAAAAAGCAGCATAAACAACCCTGAGGAGGGGAGAGAACCCGATCTCCAGAGTTACCACATTATATTACCAAATATTCAAAATGTCCAGTTTCCATCAACAAATTAAGAGGCATGCAAAGACACAAGAAAGTATGACTCAATCACAGGAAAAAATAAGGAAGCTCAGACGTTAGTCTTACTAGGTGAGGCTTTACATCAACTGTCTTAAATATACTCAAAAAGCAAACAGAATTCATGAACAAAGAGCTGAAGGAAATCAGGAGAACAATGCTCTCCAACAGATAGAGGATATCAATAAAGAGATAGAAATTATTTAAAAGAACCAAATAGAAATTCTGGAGCAGATAAGTCCAATAACTAAAATGAAAAATTCACTAAAGTGATTCAACAGCAGATTTAAGCAGGCAAAGGAAAGGACTGGTAAACTTGAAGACAGGTCAATTAAAATTATACAGTCTGGGGTGCAGAAAGAAAAAGGAAGAAAAGTGAACAGAGCCTAAGGGACCGATGGGACACCATAAAACATACCAACAGGGGCTGGCCAGTGGTGTAGTGGTTAGGTTTGCATGCTCCATTTCAGTGGCCTGGGGCTCACAGGTTCGGATCCTGGGCATGGACCTAGCACCGCTCGTCAAGCCACACTGTAGTGGCATCCCACATAAAGTAGAGGAAGATTGGCACAGATGTTAACTTAGTGACAATCTCCCTCAAGCAAAAAGAGAAAGATTGGCAACAGACGTTAGCTCAGGGCCAATCTTCCTCACAAAAACACAAAAAAACAAACAAATGAAAAGCATACTAACAGATACATGATGGGAATCCCAGAAGGAGAGGACAGAAAGAGGGGCAGAAAATATTTGAAAAAAATAATGGTTGGAAACTTCCTAAAATAAATGAAATACGTGAATCTGCACATTCAAGAAGCTAAGCAAACTTCAAGCAGAATAAACTCAAAGAAATCCACACTGAGACACACTACAATCAAACTGTCACGTGGTTCAACACATGAATATCAAGCTATGTAATGCACCACGTTAACAGACCACATGATCTTCTCAACTGACGCAGAAAAAGCATTTGACATAATCCAACACCCTTTCATGATAAAAACACTCAGTAAACTAGAAATAAAAGGGAACTTCCTCAACACAATAAGGGTAATTATTGAAAAAACTATAGTGAACATCGTAACCATGAAGGACTAAAAGTTTGCTCTCTAAAGAAACAAAGCAAGGATGTTAACTTTCACCACTTCCATCCAACATTGTACTGGAAATTCTAGCCAGAGCAATAAGACAAGAAAAAGAAATAAAAGGCATCCAAATTGGAAAGGAAGAAGAAAAACTCTCTATTCACAGATGACATGAGCTAATAAACAAATTCAGCAAAGTTGCAGGACCCAATATCAACACATAAACGTCTGTTGTATTTCTATACAATAGCAATGAACAACCCCAAAAGGAAACTAAGAAAATTCCATTTATAATAAAAAGAATCAATTCCACTTATAGAAGCAAAAAGAATAAAATACTGAGGAATAAATTTATCTGGGGTGGTATAAGACATGTGCACTGAAAATATTGTTGAAAGGAATTAAATAAAACCTAAATAAATGGAAAGACATTCTGTGTTCATAGATTGGAAGATTTAACGTTGTTAAGATAACAACACAACCCAAAGTGACCTACAGGTCCAATGCAATCCCTATCAAAACCCCAACAGCTTGTTTTCTTCTCTTTTTGCAGAAAGGAAAAGTTGATCCCAAAATTCATATGGAATTGCATGGGATCCAGAAAGCCAAAATAATCCTGAAATAAAAGAACAAAGTTGAAGGACTCATATTTTTTTACTTCAAAACTTACTACAAAGCTAAAGTCCTCGCATAATGATAGACATACGGAATGAAATGCAATTGAGAGTTCAGAACTAAGCCCATACATCTATGGACAACTGATTTTCCACAAGCGTGCCAAGACCATTCAGTGGGGGAAAGAAGAGTCTCCAACGACAGTGCTGGGACAATTGGTAATCTACATGCAGAAGAATGAAGTTGGACCTTTTCCTCATACGATATACCTGACAATGCCTGGTGCTCACCAAATGCGCATCACATGCTGGTTCTTCTGCTGTTCCTGTTTACCCACCCTTTCCCCCTCAGCTACTGGCTGTACACTCTCCACTGTGAACCACTGGTGTTTGGCACTGCCCATGGCCCAAGAACCACCTGAAGGCAAATGCAAAGCTCTTGCTCTCACGCAGCTCACATAAACCGGGACAGACAGCAGACATGCAGGGAAGGGTAAACCCCATAAACATCACAGAGGGGTGGGCACCCCGGAGAACATGAGTGGGGTTCTGTGTGGTGGCCTCTCCGAGAGGTGTCTGAGGCAGGCCTGGGTGATGAACTGGCTACCCCTGATCCTCTTTCTCTCTTTCTCTCTGTCTCCTGGCTCTCTTGTTCTTGCTTTGTTATTTCTCTGTGACCGAGAGCATCGCAGTCAGTGGACACAACACTTCGAGGCATCCAGGTTCCTGGCTGAGCCAGAGGGAGGTACATGCTATGGACTGAACAGGAGAGGCCTGTTCTGTTCACAGTTATTTCTCCAATCACCAGCTGTCAGGGACTTCCAGTGGAAATATTCCGTCTGTGTTCCCCCTCCCTTGCACCAGGCAGTGGGAGAGGATCACCCACAGGAAAGATGAAAGCAGGATCCCTTTGGATTCTAGCTGGGCATTGGGCACCCTTTCCACAGCCCCCTTCCCTCAGTGCCTATCTCATCCTACCCCTTCCCACTCAACACCCTCCAGGAGCCTCCCTTCCCAAGGGATGAAACCCAAGCTTGAGGCAGCAGTGTGCAGATGCCACCTGCCCGTGTCCCTGACTTCCACGTGTTCCTGTAGCGGGTGAAGAAGCCATACCAGGCTCAGCTATCTTCCACGCCAGCTACGTCACTGCCTGCAGGACCGCAAGGTCACCCTGCGCAAAATGCAAACACAGGCCCCTTGCTGAAAATGATGGAGAACTTTGCCATAGCGAAGCATTGAAGCCCGCCTGGGTTCTCCTGAGCTCGAGGCCCTGCGGGCTGCACGGGTCCCCCAAGGACCAGAAGCAAATGCCCTTTGGCCCCTCTGCCCCAGGAACAGCAAGTTCCAAGGGCCACTTTATCTGCCTGGCATGTCTTCCTGATGCCACAGGAGCCCAGGGGTGAGACACCATTCAATGTCCGCCAATGTGGACTACGCTGGCCTCTGCAAAGCAGGACATGCAGCGCCTTCCCGAGCACATCAGCCAGCTTCCCAGGGCAGCAGCGGGGAGACCCGGAACCCTGTTTTCTGTGAACTGCAAGGCTTTTCTGAACCACAGGCCTGGAGACGCCCTGATCACAGCACCCAAGTGGGTCCTGAGGAACTGACCTCCTCCAGTGTTGGGGTGCGACCCACCAGACAGCAGGTGGCATGGGACGAATGACCACAGGAGCGATGGATAAAAAGTCTCACCTTGGACCCCATGGACTCATTGGCAACAGATAGTGGGGGTGCCACCTGCGCACGAAATGGCCACCTCCCCCCTGGTCTTTGCTCCTCCATGCCATCCACCTGGCATTCCCTTCCCTCTCCCGTACACTTACTGACACTCCTCCCCCGTACACTTACTGACACTCCTCCCCCAAGCTCTGCGGGAAACAGGGGAGTCCTCCCAGCCCACACTGCCTGCAGCGGCTGGCTCTTGCCATCCACACCTACTTATTTGGGCCTCCCGGCATCCAACTCCTGCACTTTCATTGACATTACCAGGAAAGACAGAGCCCATTCCGTGGGACCATGCCCTGGGAGGATGGAAGCTTGACATGGGGTCAGAGGGGCAAGACAGCATGAGGACAGAGTCCCTACAGGTGAAAAGGGAGCTGAGAGGGAGAAGCAGGATCAGAGAGTCATCTGCAGACCCCGCAGCTACCTGAGTCCCCTCTGTCTGCTGAGCTTCCGCAGACACCCTGGGTGTCGATCTACACAACCATCCAGTGGGTCTCTGGGACTGGGTCTGCGCCCCACAGCCAGGGCACAGGGGAGGGACCAGTGATCTGCAGGATTCTGGGACAGGACCTGGGGCAGCAGGGTCCACAGCACCATGCGTGGGCTGAGGGACCAGGTGTCCTTCTGAGGAGAGCAGACAGATGCAAAGCCACAGGCCAGATGGACACGCACTAGAATGGAGGGATCTTCAAGTATCAACCAAGTAAGAAAAGTGAGCAGAGGCCGCAGCACAAAGACATTTATGTAAAAGAAAATTAACACAGGTGTGCAGAATGATAATGAGCGTTGGACTGACACCGGCAGGGAGAGGGTTTGCTCTACGCCTGGGGCACTGCAGGTCAGGAGGGGGATGGTGACAGGAGTGGCTAGGGGGTGGGTGGAGCAGTGCTAGGTGGATAAGACACTCTGAGTCTAAAAGGAAAAAGAAGCCGATCCTTGGGTGCCGGGCCACAGAGAAGTCAGCCAGAACCCAGACCCAGCACCTGCTCCCTGCCACATCCACTCAGTCTCCGTCTCAAGGAGCGGCCCGTCCCCTCACCTTCCTCCTGAGACATCTGTGTGGCTAGCAGCCTCCCTGCAGGTGCGGGGTGCCTGTGACTGCACCCAGGTCCTCATCTTGCTGGGCGGGGCACCCAGGAACTGCTCTAGCACTAGCAGCTCCAGCAGCTCCTCCTTGGAGTGGACTTTGGGCCGCAGACACTGTCGGCACAGCATCCAGAGCTGGCCCAGTGCGTGGTGTGGCCCGCCTGCCATGTAGTACTGAAACTGCTGGAAGCACAAGCGCCAGGCCTCTGCGTCCCCAGGGCTGGCCAGGTGGGGGGCCTTGTCCTGCTCACTAGGGGCCTGGGTCTGGGGGTTCCTGGGGGAAGCAAAGGCTTTGGCCAGTGGGAGCATCTATCTGGCCTCAGGGGGTGAGTGGGCTGGATCCCAGGACAGTCCCAGTGGCTCCAGACACATGTAGGTGGCAGCAGGCGGATACGGTCAGCAGTCAGGGGCCTGCAGAGAGGGGCAGGCGCAAAGCAGCCACATCAGACGGTGGCCCTCCCTGCTCAGGACCTCCCTTGGCTCCCTACCAACGTATCCTGACCTCCAGCGCCCCAAGGAACTGACCTGACCCCTCCCTATCTCTTCCAACCCAACCTCCTTCTGAGGCACTGGTCATCCCAGAGCCTTCATGGCTGTCCTGCCCAAACTCCCCCCTGATGTTCATCCCAGCTCAGATGTCACCACAGCAGGGAGGGCTTCCTGGATGCTCTGGTTCAAGTTGTCTCCTTATCCTCACTGTGCTATCCTCACAACCCTATTCATCCCTGAAACATCTCATTTCCTTATGTAGTTGAGTGTCTATCTGCCTTCTTCATTAAGTCCTTCACATGGTTTGCTGAGGAGCTGGGGAAGCAGGAGTTCCTGCTCTGAGGGGGTGGCCAGCGCTGTCCAACAGAACTCCCCACAAGGACAGAAATATCCTCCATCTGTGCTGTCCAACACGGTAGCCCCTAGCCACAGGTGGCTCCTGAGCACTTGAAATTAGGAACTGGATTTTAAATTTAAATTTCCTTTAAATGGAAACAACCAGATATGCTAACTGGTAGTGCAGGGGCAGCCTCCTGCTGTTCTTGCCTTTTCTGCCAGGTCAGCTGGGGAGGAGGCAGTGAGGAGGGCAGGGGGCAATGGGGGAGACTTCAGAAGTGAAGGGAACATGGGAATGGCAATGAAAAAATAGACTTTGAAGCATTTCCCAAGCTTCCCACAGTGAATATCTAAACCAAAGAAACTGTAGAAAGTTGTAAAAACAAAAATGAGCAGGGACATTTTTTTTTTTTAAACAGAAAACAACTGTACTCTGATCTGCTGGTGAAACTACAAACTGGCACGACCTTTCTGGAAAGCACTGTGGCAGCTTGTATATAAAGAACATTCCAGGAGTTTGCATACTCTGGAATTTATCTGAGACTCCAAGAAAGATTTGGGCACCAAGACTCACAACAAAAGTGCCCAACAGTCCAGCTTGGTGGGATCAATTACTCTTCCATCACATGGTGGAGTTTTAACTGTGCAAAATACACGGTAACACCGTAATATGCTCAAGGGAAGCATGGACATGACCTTTGGATGGTAGGAGGTGCAGGGGAGAGTGGGATGCAAAATGATGAATGAGGGGCCTGGAAAGGGTCACCAGGAAAGAGGCCCAAGGGTGGCCAGCCAGGTGCTTCATGTTCTTCATGTTTCTGAGTCTCCCCCAAATGGTATTGTGATCATGTTTGACCCTCATTGTGGAAAAAAATTTAAAAAGAACAAAAATATTCAGGCAGGAGTTTTAATGACATGGGAAAATGCTTATGATACGGCAAGTGAAACGTGGATGGGTATTCCAAGTGATTGTTCCTTCCGGATCCCCTGGTGCATTTTTCATGTTCAAGTGATGACAATCAGGGAGAAAGCAGGTGGACAGTGGCAGGAGGGCTGTGCTAACATCTTTGCCAATCTTGCTCTATTTTGTATGTGTGGCACTGCCACAGTGTGGCTTGATGAGTGTTGTAGGTCCACGCCTGGGATCCCGGGGCCGCTGAAGTGGAGCACATGAACTTAACCACTAGGCCCTCAGGTGGCCCCCATATATGTATGTATTTTTGTGAAAGGGAAAAGGCACCATTTGCAGCTCCACGGGTTCAAGAAGTCCCTCTGCTCTGGGGTCTTGGACCTTACCCTTCTCTCCAGTTCTCAGGGAAGCAGGCCCTAGGCAGAGTCCAGGATGGAGAACTGTAGCCCCTCCACACTCTCCAGGTCCTGGGATGGAGTCTATGTGAGAAGAAACTGAGTTTATGGGGGAACTAGGTCAAGTGGGCTCCTGGCTGAAAGCCTAGGGGTGAGGGTCAGCAGTCCGTGTGGGGGCTGACATCCTCACGTGGGGGTCTTGGGCCAATGTGGGGGTCCCAGGCTGATGAGGGAGTCCTGGGATGATGTGGGGAGCCTGAAGTCTATGTAGACAGGAGCATCTGAGGTCCACAAGGTGGTTGCTGTGGTGGTCCTGGGGTCCCAGAGATCCACATTGGGGGATACCCGGGACGGATGTTGGAGGGTCTCTGTCACTTGTAGGGCTCAAAGCCAAGTGGAGGGGCCGGGTTCAGCTGGGGTGGGCCCTGGGATCTGCAGCCAAGGCCCACGTGCTAAGGCGTGGGGGACTGGAGGCTCCGGCGCCGACCCTGGACACTCAGCAGATGACAGATTCTCGAATGAACACGTGGATGTGTCGGAGATGGGGCGGCCGGGCTGGATGCTCGGTAACTGAGTGACAACAGATGAGGGGCTGGGGGGACCCCGAAGAGCTGGGCCGGGTCCTGGGCCGGGCCGAGAGGGTGTGGGGTGGACAGCGGAGGCTGAGGGGCTCTCTGCCCCAACCTGAGGGGGACGCGACCGGGCCGAGGCTTGGCAGGAAGGGGCGTCCAGCTCCCCAACGTCGACTCCCGCCCCCTAGGGCCTCAGGACCCCGCGGGGCTCCAGAACAGCCCGCCTCCCTCACCCCCGGGGACCTCGGGACCCCTCGCCGGCTCCCTGACTCTGGTCGGCCCGCCGCCGGCCTCGGCTGCGGCCCCTGCCCGAGCCCGTCTTCCTCAGGCGCGACCCCGGCCAGCTCCACCGACTCTGGCGCCCTCGGCCCGCCCGCGGCTCCTCCCGGGGCCGGCCAGCCGGCAGTCGCTGACGGACGTGGGACGGGCGACGGGACTGCCGCACAGGTTGCGGCCGACTCACTGCGCGCGCGCTCAGCTCCTGCAAGAGCCGCTCCGTCGTAGCGCCGCCTCTGCTGCGAGCCAGCCGGGCCGCCGCCGCACGGACTACAACTCCCAGAACCCTGCGCGCCGCAGGCGGCCGCCCTTGGCCTGGAGGACGGGGACACGCGGACCAATCGGAAGCCGCCTGGGATAGGTTCCCCCGCCCCCGTCGTGCCGGGAGTTATCCGGGACCGGGATTTGGTCGCCGTGGCAACGGTGCACGCCTCCCGGGGAGCCCTGCAGGGATGGAGCGGAGGCCGGGCAGCGTCTGCAGGACGGCCCCAGCGACGTGGTTGGACTCTCCTTTTGCAAGGCGGCTGCCAGACGAAATGCAAGAATTCCAGTTGAACAACGAACGTTTTTGTTTTTGCTATGTGTGTCTCATATTTAGTATGTTAAAAAATTTTTTTCAATATGTCTGTTTACTATAAAAGTCCCCCGAATTAGGATTACCAGATTTAGCAAATAAAAAATACGAGGCCCAGTTAGATTTGAATTTCCGATGACAATGAATGTTTTTTAGTGTTAGTTTATATAGTATAGTATATATACACACACATATATACAGTATACGTAGTATAATAGTATATCTGGGATGTACTTATAGTAAAAAAACTATTCATTGTTTATCTGAAATTCAGATTAGGGGTAAGATAGTGATTCAAAGAGGCTCCACAGCTCTGGGACTGAGCTCTGGATGGCTGGAGCTGCCCAGTGCTGAGATGGGGAAGCAGGAGGGTATGGGTGTGGGTAGGGACCTAACAAAGGAGATGGGGACCCCACCTCCAGGAGCCTAGGACTGAGTGCCATTCATCCCCTGGACAACCGTTTATTGAGTGCCTACCAGGTGCTGTTCTAGGCACTGAGGGTGGGCAGTACATCAGTGAGCAGGACTGCTAAGGCTTTGGCCTCAGGGGGCCCGAGGTTCACACACCAGTGAACAAATAAAATAGATGCTTGCCATAGTATAAGCACACTTGAGAAAATAAAACCAGGCTCAGAAATAGAAAGTCCCGGGAGTGGCAGGAGGGGCTACTTAGCTGGGTGGTCAGGGCTGTGCCTCTGTCTCATCTCCCGCTGGCTGCTGGTCCCCAGAGTATTGTATTCAAGCAGGTGCTTGCTGTGTGCAAAAGCCACAGATGGGAAAATAAAATGAGAATGCTGAGGGCTTATTATTCTCCTATAAATGAGGCACCTGTAAGGACATGAGTCCCCCGGTTTATTTTCTCGGTAGCTGAAATTGGCCTGGCCCTTTGGGGCAGCGGAGGCTCATTTGTGCATTTGTAACTCTGCGACCCACCTCAGGAAATAGCCCTTGAGAGAACATTCACTGAGTTTGTCTTTAGGGCCAGGTGAAAGACACGGTCACAGCTGCTTGAACACTAGATCCACTGGGAGGCAGCCTGGCGCCAGGCAGAGGTTTCCAAACATTTTGTAAGCAGCAGAAACTTTTTCCAAATGACCTTGGGGTAAACCTCAATTTAAAAAGTAAGTTAGCTGGAAGCAGAGCTGCTGTAATCGCCAGGGTCTGGGAGGAGGCAGCATGGGGAGTGCCGCTAATGGGCACAGGGTTTCTTTGTAGGGTGATGAAGATGTCCTGGAATTAGGTAGTGGTGGTGGTTGTACAACCCTGTGAATGTAGAAAAAACTGTATACTTTAAGGGGGTGAATTTTATGCTATGTGAATTGTACCTCCATAAAAATGTCATTTAAAAAAGCAGAACTGTTTGAGTTGTAGGAAGATCTTGTGTGGCTACATCACACTCAAAAATCAACCCCAGATGGACCTGGGACTTGAAACCCAAAGCAAAATATTGAAAGTTTTTGTGGGAAATATTTGAGAATGTTTCTAACTTTTGGGTTGAGATAGATTTCTTAAACAAGACGCAAAAACTGCTTACCATCCCTGTGCCAAGATTACAAAGATGCTGTCCCACCGACATGTGAAGAAGGTAACCATCTGATTAGTGATCAGGGACACGAAAATGAACCACAGTAAGTTTTTATTTCACACGCACTCGACTGGAAACACTTAGAGGTCTGACAACATCAAGGATGGAAGGACGTGGCCCTCAGCCCCTCTTCTGTGTGCTGGTGGGATGTAATGTGGTGAGCTTTGGAAAGCATCTTGGCATCTTCTAGTTCAGCTGATCATCTGCATGCCCTGTGACCCAGCGTTTACCCACTAAAGGATGCTCCAGGCACCACTGTGCAGAGGGGCCAAAACCCCCTCAGAGAAGGAGGGCTGCAGTGTGCTCTATTCACACAGTGGAATATCCCACAGTGAAAAAGCACCATCTACGACAGGGGCCGGCAAACTTTTTCTGCAAAAGGCTAAAAAATAGGAAATGTTTTTGGTTTTGTTGGTCATCCAGTCTCTGTCGCAGCTACTCAGCTCTGCTGTTGTAGCAGGAAAGCAGCCATAGACAATACACTGAAGGATGGGCATGGCTGTGTTCCAGTAAAACTTTACTTTTAAAAACAGGCAGCAGGCCAGACTTAGCCTTCAGGCCGTAGTTTGTCGACCCCTAAACTACAATGAGGATGCATCTTTGCCCAGGATGGAACATCCTTCACCCAGAGAGCCGCTGGAGGCTTCCCAGACCACCTCAGCTAAAGCAGCCCCCACCCATGCTGATATCTAACACCAGAGATTGGTTTTGCCTTTTCTGGAACTTCATAGAAATGGAAGCGTGTTATGCATACACTTCTGTGGCTTTCACTCGGCATTTCTGTGAGATCCACCATATTGTTGTGTGTGTCAGGGGTGGTTCCTCTCCATCGCTGAGCGGTTGGCCATTACACGGATATATGGAGAGGTAGTTTGGTTCTCCATTCACCTAGTGGTGGACATTTTGGGTTATTTCCAGTTTGGAGTTCTTATTAAAAAAGCTGCTATGAACATTTGTGTACAAATCTTTGCATGGACATTGGTTTTCTGGCTTTGCCTATTCTAGAGATTTCGTAGAAATAGAATCATTTAATATGTGATCTTTTGTATCTGGCTTCTTTCACTTGGCACAAGGTTTTCAAGGTTCATCCATGTTGTAGCATATGTCAGAACTTCATTCCTTTTTTTTTTTTTTTTTTGGTGAGGAAGACTAGTCCTGAGCTAACATTTGTGCCAATCTTCCTCTATTTTGTGTGTGGGACGCCACCACTGCATGGCTTGATGAGTATTGTGTAGTTCCGCACCTGGGATCCAAACCTGCGGACCCCGGGCCATCAAAGCAGAACCCGAGAATTTAACCACTGAACCACCAGGCCAGCTCTAGAACTTCATTCCTTGTTATGGTTGAATAAGATTCCATTTTGCGGATAGATGTAATTTTGTTTCTCCCTCCATCAATTATTGGGCATTTTGGATTGTTTCCACTTTTTGGCTATCATGAATGTAAAGGATGCTGCTGTAAACGCTCATGTGTAAGTGTTTGTATGGATGGATATTGTCATTTCTCTTGAGGAGTGAAATGGTTGGGTCAAACGGTAAATCCATGTTTAACATTGTGAGGAACTGCCAGACTGTTTTCCAAAACAGCTGCACCAGTTTACGTTCCCACCAACAGTGCACGAGGATTCCAATTTCTCTACATCCTTGCCAACAGTTGTTATTTTCCTTTTTTTTTTTTTTATTGTAACCATCCTAGTAGCCAGCCTTGGTGGTCAAGTGGTTAAGATTCCGTGCTCTCACTGTCATGGCCCAGGTTTGTTTCTGGTCAGGGAACCACAGCACCCATCTGTAGGTTGTCACACGTGGTGGCTGCTGTTGCTGTGATGCTGAAAGCTTTGTTACTAGTATTTCAAATACCATCAGGGTCTCAGCAGAGCTTTCAGACTAAGACAGACAAGGAATAAGGATCTGGCCACCCACTTCTCAAAAAATTGGCAAGAAAAACCCTATGAATAACAGCAGAGCCTTGTCTGATACAGCACCGGAAAGTGAGAGGATGGGCAAAACATCGAGCACTTTCTGCTGTGCTGTCCACAGGGCGCTAGGAGTGGGAATCCGCTCCACAGCACTAACAACAAGCGTCCTATTGGGCGAGAATTGGTGAGTCACTGTGGTTTCCATTTGTAGGTCCCTGATGGCTAATAGTGTTGACCATGTTCTCTTGCATGCGGAGCAGCAACCACCCCTCACTGGGTCAAGAACACCAACTTTCCTGCCCTGTGTTGGAGAGATGCACCCACCCAGCCTGGACCTGGCCTCCAGCAGCCACCTGGAGCTGAATATGCCTGTTCCTCTGCTTGGTGGCCCTGGGACAGGAGGGAATGACCCAGGGCCTCCTGCAGCTCTGGGGATATCCCCCTCTCCAAATGCTGCCAGGCAGGGAGGGGGCGGGGCGGGGGTCAGAAGGCTTCTGGCCTCTGGGCCCTCATGGGCCTCTCCCCACACAGTGACCTGGGACCCCGGGCGCAGCTGTGGCTGGGCTTGCAGGGTCCCCAAGTCCCCTCCCTGGAGTCTGGGTGAGGGCACAAGCTGTCACCCTCTGCTTGGGGGAGGCGAAGGGGCCCCAGAGGAAGGAGGGAAGACTTCGAATGGCCTGGGGTTTACAGGCTGCCCAGCGCAGCCCCGCATCCTTGTTCTCTGCAGGCATGGCTCCCAGGGCCCCTCCTGATGTGTCCCCAGCCCCCAGGCCGGAGTCAGGGCAAGCTCCCAGATAAAAGCCCTGCCACACCGGCCTTCTGCGTCGTGCTCCCCAACCGTTCCGGCATGTGGCTGTGCTCCCTGCTGCCTGCCCTAGTGGGCTCTCTCCCTGGGGCCCTTTCTGGGCCCACTGGCTGGCGCTCGCCAGGGAAGAGCCCCCGCTTTGACCGTCCCGGAGATGTGGTGATTGGGGGCAGCTTCTCCATCTTTTTCTTCAAGCCTGTCACCCTGTTCGATTTCACGGCTCCGCCGGCTGGGACAGCGTCTGTGAGGTAAGTGGCTGCGGGTCGGGAGGGAGCCTTGGAGGGCCTTTCTCTAAATCCTCAGACAGCGACTGGCTCTCAGAACCCCAGGCGTTGGCCGGGTTTCTCGTTTGTCTGAACATTGGTCGGGCTGTCTCTCAGGCCT